GATGCATTGGAAATCCAGACAATTCAAACTCGCAATAAAGCCTCAACAAGACAAAGGACCGATTTGTGCTTAAAATAAGTCAGAAGCTCGAATAAAAGGAAACATATTATGGTTATTATTGCTGTCTGTATAAATAAACTCGTGGAGAATAGATATTACACGTTTTTGTGGTTTTAAGATCTGAATGGGAGCGAAATTTGACCCCCTAAAAAACTACTTAAAACAGTAAAATAAAGACATATGGCTCTTCAAAGGGGAAATCCACCCATTTAACAAAACCTCCCCATAATTGAGTGTTTAAAATGTAAACAGAGTGATGCAGAGTGGTTTGGTGTGAAATGGTTCAGATGTCTTTACAGTGGTGGTGATAGGAACCAGGGGTCATCATGACTACAACACATATATAGACATTTTATAAATTACGTTTGGGACACTTCAGCATTCACTGGAGGTGTAACGATGTAAAATATGATTTAATATGATTAGGTGGTATGTAATGTGCCTTGTGTTCATATGTTAATGTTGATGTGTTAAAGGGTAATTCCACTGATTTTTCAAGATTTCCTGCATGATTAAACGCTTAAGGTGTAAGCAGAGTCATTCAGAGTGGTTTGGTGTAAAATGCTCTGTTCTAGAGTCAGAATTGTTCACAATGATGGGAATAGGAACCTGGCAGCTGAACCACTGAATCGTAGAGAAATTTTTAAAAATCTGTGGAATTCCGCTTTAATGCTTGCACTAGGGGGGTAACAATGCACTTTGAGGTCTGATTTTTAGCTTCCAGATTCAGTTGGATATGTAGCAGGAGTGTGTTGACTCTACAGAATTCAGATAAATAAAAAATCTCAATTTCAACTCTTTCAGTTTCTGCCGCCCTGCCCTCTAAAATATAATTAAACTCCCAAAAGTAACACACCCTAAAATTAATACTTGGTTTATAAAAAATCTACACTGCAAAAAATGGTATCTTGGCAAGTGAAATGATCTTAAATTTAGTCCAAATATCTAATATTTTTCATGCTGAGATCGTTGTTAACTTCATTACTTCATTTACTTTATTTTTAGATGTTTTTTACTTGTCGTTTTGTTAAGTAAATTGATCTCACTATACAAGCAGATAATTTGCTTTAAGAAATGTGCTTAAAACCAGCATTTTACTTAATAAAATGACTTAAAACAAGCAAATATTTGGTGCTAAAATAATCTTAGAATATTTCTACAAACATCTCAAAATGAGCAACATTAGATACATAGACACGTTTAACATGATTACACTTGTTAAACTATTTTTGCAGCGCAGTCATTTCCATGTATAACATAAGCCGCTTTACTCTGATAGGCTGTTTGTTAACTGTGGTTTCAGCTTTACATTTACATTCACTAATCCACATTCGGTTTTCAATATGTGTTGGAATCGTTGCCCCCTCAGCGTTCACACTGCAGGTCCCGTGTCCTTTTGAAAGCCATCTGAGTGGTCAGACCACCACTCATCTCCAAGACAATAGACCCCATTCACACCTGAACTCCTCACCGTCCACTGTCCCAGCAGGGAACGGTCACAGCAGGATGACACACAGACCATCTTCACACCTGCCATTAACCTGCGCTCTGGGTGATCTGACCATCAGCACTGGGCGGGTGCAGGCCTTTCAGGACGAGGGGCTCCTGTACCAGCCGGGTGGACCAACGGCACACATCCATCAGCTCATCAATCATTAAAGTTAATCGAATCAAATCAAGCTTTACTGGTCAAACACATAGCCAGTACAAGGTGCAGTGAAATGCTTATCGCTGTTGGCGGAACAACTTCTGATTTTATTCACTGATTGATTTACTTTGGTTAATTGCAACACTTTTGTCACCACTGAGATGGTAAGATGATACAGAGGAGCTCGTTTTGTATGCGTTCTGTTTTGAAAAGATAATTACTGTTTGAACAAAATCTGTTATCTCCATTTTTGTTTTGAATTCACTGCCTGATGTCTGAGACACTGTTTTATGATAGTTTTGAGAAGATTTGGGCCTTAAAATACATTCATGGTGGAGGGATACATAATATACAGGGTGCTGTGAGGCAAAATAGTCCCCAAAGAAAACTTATTATTTCAGATTTTCCACTATTTTCCATCATCAACATTCCATATAAACTCAGAAGACTTGTGTAGGTTCGCTGGTGGTTTTGGATAGTAAATAAAATGTCTATATTTGTGTTGTAGTCATGGTGACCCCTGGTTCATATCACCACCACTGTACAGACATTTGAACCATTTCACACCAAACCACTCTGAATCACTATGTTTACATCTCACACACTAAATTATGGTGGAATTTCCCTTTTAATACAAAAAGTTTATTCTTCCATTTTGGCTGAATGGCCTGTTAAATAACACCTGACTAAATAAGTGGTAATATTTGTCAAATTAAAATTACTGGACTTAAACCCTCAAGGAAAGTGATTTACGTGGTGAGTTTGTTTCCTTCTTTTAATCTGTGCTATTGAGTGGACTCTGATCACTTACCCAGTGTCCTCAGATCTAATCAAAACCAAAACCAATCATAGTGATTTAGAGTGGTTTGATGTGAAATGGTTCAGATGTCTTTACAGTGGTGCTGATAGGAACCAGGGGTCGCCATGACTACAACACAAATATAGACATTTTATTTACTATCCAAAACCACCAGTAAACCTACACGGGTCTTCTGAGTTTATATGGAATGTTGATGATGGAAAATAGTGGAAAATCTGAAATAATAAGATTTCTTTGGGGACTATTTTGCCTGCATGTACCCCTCCACTATGAATGGATTTTAAAGATATGTTTAAGGAAAGGCAAATTTATTTCTATACAATAAATAAATATACAATAAACAGCACCAAAACTTATTCTGCTATTATTACAAGCTTGACATCGTAACAATGGAACAGCCCTTTTTGGAGCTAAATAGAACCTCATACAACACATTCGCCATCAATCCGAAGAACTGTTTCACAATGCAAAGAATCTTTCAAGCATGCAAAAGTTTTCTAAGTGTTCATGTTTCTATATAAAATGACTGTTGTTACTAAAGATTCGTTAAAGCACCATCTTTTTTAGAAGTGTAGACACTCATCACCTCCAAAATAAAATAAACACTGTTTCTGAAAGATCCTACATTTATTTCAGAGATGTTTCTGTATTTATGTCCTTCTAGAAGCTCCTCTTCTGAAGGTAAACAAGGAAATTGTAGAGATTTATTTTTACGTACACACATTTTTACATATATATTTAATGTCCAGTAATCTGAACATTCGGACTCAGCAAATAAGGCTTTGATAAGTGTAATACATAATTGATTAGTATAACAGATAATGGATTAATATAACAGATAATTGAGTAATATAACAGGTAACTGATTAGTATTATAAAATGTATGCTTTATGAAATGCAATCATTCAAGATTTTTGTTATTTATAAAGTAGAATCTTTTAGTGATATCAGTGGATTTCACTCTCCAGTATAGGCCTACTGGGCTTTGATACTAGGCACATGAAATCTGCAAGATTTTGAAAAATGAACATATTTATTATCATCAGGATAACAGACCCAAACAGAAACTTAAGACTTCCTGTGTTTCAGAAAAGTTATTTCTGTCTGCAACATTGGGGTAGCATATAAAATGCATACAATATGTGTAATACTACTCATAACTCTATATAATATGTGCTGTAGCTTATGTAACGTTTTCTGACCTCGACTGTTTCAACCATTTGTTCATTGTAGATATAGCAATGTAAACCGGTGTATGTGCATTGTGTTAAGAAACCCCTTTGTTTATGATTATTATGTAAAGGTTATTTTGAATTTTAGTCTCTCCTGCAGAAGTACAGGCAGTTCTAAGAGTTCAGAGACTGTTTTATGCAGCTGTAAACAGTAAACACAGGTCTTACAGTGTTGGTGATAATTAATATGTTGATTTTTCAAAAATGTGCAATACAGTGGACACTGAATATTATTTCTTCCCAGTAAACAAAACAAAAACAAAAAAAATTCAACGTATAAAGTTGCTTAGTACAAAGCAGAGAACATGTTTCATAACAAATCACTGGTTTTAAAGTGTCCAGACTTTTAAAGCAGCGCTCTAAACGAGCTGTAAAGTTAAGTGTTTTCTGAACTTTTTGGTTTTAGACCAAACCATTCTGAAAGTAAAACAAAGATATCGAGCAGCGTATTCACAACCAACAAGCGTCTCTAGGATTTTAACAATTAAACCTTAAGTTGTTCGAAATAAACCACTCTGAATGCCTTTGAATCTTAACCATTTAATCATGCAAAGATTTTGAGAAAATGGTGGAATTTCCCTTTACGACGCAGTAAAATATAGACATAAAAAGGTGGTTCTAAAGGGTTTAAAATGGCTTTAAAATCACTATAAGACTCTTACATTATCACAGCCTGTTAAACTCCGTTTTAGCCACATAAAGAGATAAACTGCTCGAATACTGTTCGATTATATACGCTTAAATTAGCTTCTCGTTCGAATCTCCCGTTCCACCTTAAACACCACAGCAGTTACTGCTGTGCGCCATTTAAGGTGGAACGGAAAATAAAACACTCTGAACGGATTCGTTTATATCTTAACCATTTAATGATGCAGAGATTTTGAAAAAAAAAAGTGGCATTTCCTTTAACAGTACAGTAAAATGCATAAACATGGGAAAGTTGGGCTTTAAATACAGAAAACTCGGTTTCAGTTCGTGTTCTGTGTTCTGTGTTTGAAAACACGTTTAAAATCCTTCCTCAAACAGCGTCGCTGGAGCAGTGATTGACACCCCGCTCTATCCACTTAGGACGTCTGTTATGGTTTAAATTTCTGTTGCTAGGCCGTAACAGCCAATCAGCCGCGAGAGGCGGGGCGGAGAGCAGCCGAGAGCAGCTGATTGGCTGAACGAACAGCGCACGCAGAGGCGGGATCCAATCCGATTTCAGCTCGTTTCTGCACCTACAGAGCGTTAAAGCTCATCACAGCAACAGATTGGAAGGAAAGTTGAGGTGGACGGACATAAACCGGCGCAGCTCAGGTTTTAGTATTGTTTTAATATTTCTTTCCCGAAAAACCGACTACAGCTGAGCCACCATGCCGAAAAGAAGCAAAGTAAGTCAAATTTTATTTATTCATTTTTACCAGAAGCCTGTAAATATTTAAAAATGTGAAAGTAGGGCAGTGAGTGAAAGTGTTAGCTAATGTTGGAGCTTCTGGCGCCTTTTTTCTTAGCAGCGTTCAGTACGACGGGTCGTTCCGAAGCGTTTTGCATTCACAGACTATTATCACCTTTATAATTCTGTGCGAATTTAAAGAGATCAAATAATGTACTGAAAACATTTTTTTCCCAGTTCATGACGATTTCAGTGCCGTTTTCAAACCTTTTCATGCATCGCATAGGGTTTAGTTTAAAGTGCGGCCCTATAGCAGTTTAAGTTACAATAGCTGTGAATCCTGTAAATGTTTTAGCCAAGTTACTCATAAGTTTTATCTGATGCAGCTTCTCTAGAACACCGTAGAACCGTATAGAACCGCGCGGTATTGTTCTCAATTATCTTACGAGGCTCAGGCTGTTCGAATTTTCCGTTCCACCTTAAATGGAGCATCAGTTACATTCTGCTGCGCTATTTAAGGTGGAACGGAAAATTCGAACGACTTAAAACGTTTTAAAAATAGAGCTGTATGTAATAGCCCTAAATTGCTTGGTATTCGTCTTTATAAACAATAACATCCCAAATTATCCCCCCCATCGCCCACATGTGTTCTGAGGTTTTATATAAGTTCGTTTTCTTCAGGGGTGCACCGATATGGGAATTCCGTGCCGATATGCAATTATTTTTTTGACTGTGTTTATAATAATAATAAACATGGATGTAAAAAATGCAGAAATTGGAATTACAAATGATACTTTAGCGCAGTATTACTGAAATATTCATCAGGGTGCCAATATTTTATTGCTATTGTGCTAAAATTAGGACAAAAAATAACTTAGTGTTTTGCTAGAGTATTTAGTCTGTTTACAAAAAACACCGTGATTCCTTTTCAGCCCTCAGTTAGGTAATCTTGCACAATAATTATAGTTATCTATTAAATGTTAAATTTCTTAATTGCATACCAGTGCTGCTGATTCTGATTTTTTTTTTAATCATTCTGCACTTCAGCTAATAGATTTTTCTTTGTTTTTATTTATTTTTTAATCTGAAACAGGCCAACAATGGAACCGAAGCATCTGAGGTCAGTATTTCAGCAAAAACAAAAAAAAATAGTAAAACTTGTTGTTGATATGGTAAATGTTTTAGACTCACTTGTGCTTACTGTCCTTTTTATTTCCTCTGCTCACACAGCCAAAAAGGAGATCCGAGAGGCTTCAAGCTGTAAGTTTGACTATCTGATTATGTGATTATTAATAAATTTAGCCATTTCTGTTTCTGACTGGATTCATGGTTCTGTTTTACAGAAGCCACAGGCGCCCGCGCCAAAACCAAAGGTAACACCATTGTTCAGACCATAACTGTGGTAGAGGTGGACAATATTGTAGAAATCTAATGTTGCGATAATTAGAAAATTTTCACAATACACAATGTCACGATATTTATTTTTTCAGACGTCTGATTGGTTGGAACAAAACCAGTAGAGCTACATTTTGAAAGGACTTTCGAAAAAATAAAACCAGTGATTTTTGTTCTATACTTTGTTCTATCCAGTTAAATGGGCTGATTTTGCTCTCTGTTCTATAACTCGTATGTTCAGAAAAGCAGATTATACTGTTGATATAATCACAATAATGATTTATTAATATAATAATAATAATAATAATAATAATAATAATAGTGATAATAATGATGGATGGATGTCATAATGCCCAGCCTTATGTTATTGAACTATGGTGGACTATGGGGCATCACCTGGAAGCGTTACGTTGTTTTATTTCTATGTAATTTAAACAGAAGGCACCTGCGAAGCCCAGGAAGGTGAAGGAAGATAAGAAAGCCAAGCCTGAGAAGAAGGCGAAGGAGGCCGAGGCTGAGCAGAACCCTGCGGAAAACGGAGAGGACAAGGCTGAAGAGGTCAGCATTATAGTATCATATAATGCATTGATACAAGCTTGAATAGCAGAACCCCTTTTGATGCTGTACAGAACCATATACAACACATTCTCCATCAATCTGAAGAACCATTTCACCATGCAGAGAACTATTTAAGCATGCAAAAGGCTCTTAGTGTACATTGTTCTTTTAAGGACCATTTACTTTATAAAAAAAACAACTTTTAAGGAGTGCATAATATGCGTTATGGTTATAGGGCAGAATATTTTAACATTCATATTAAGGGTCTTTATAGTGATACATTAATAGTAACTAATAGTGCGGCAGTAACAGCCTCTACACTTAAAGCGAAGGCTTCACACTAGATGTTGGAACATTGCTGTGAGGATTTGATTGCATTCAGCCACAAGAGCATTGGTGAGAAGGTGAGGAATTGATGAGGCCCGGGCATTGTCTAAAAATAATTAGCAGTTTAGCAGCATATTCCAGCTAAACAAACAATACACCCGGTCCAGTGCAGCTTTGAGCATTTTTTTAATATTAACTATTTTCATGAGTGTTAATCAGATATTAAATAATATGCTAAGTAACCAAGCAATCTTTTTAAAACCACTTGTTAAAATAGCTGATACTGCAAGCATGTGTTCATGAGCTCCTTCTGGTGTGGGTTCAAGAAGTGCCTATGGTGCTCCCTGTTGGAGAAACTAAATGAGTGATCTCCAAAGCCACGCCCACATGCTTTACACACAAAACCATGCTGTTTTCTGTCGTTTTAGCAGTCACTCTGGAGTGCAGAAATAGATGCCTTTTATACTTTTATAATCTTAATAATTTAACTCCTCTGAACCATCTGAACACTATCTGAATTTTTCCTCAGTAAATTTCTTGGAACTAGTCAGATTTCATGAATTTGTTGTGTTTGAAAGTGTAAATAAGTTAACTCATCCTCTTCAATAAACACATTCTGCACAGGTAAATGCACAAATACTGTTTATTTACTGAATTTAACACACTGGGAGGAAAAATGGCCTGTGAATATAAAACTTGTTTTTAGGTTTATTTTTTTCTAGTATGTTGCAGAAAATGTACATGTCTAATTTTGTTCCCTGTTAAGGATGTTAACTAGTTTAGAATTAAGCAAAGGTATTAGTTTTATTCTCAGGAACTTTTATTTTGCCTTTCAGGAAGCCAGTCAGGAGACAGAAGATAAGAAGGATGAGAAAGAAGCTGCTGAATAAGACCTTTTTCACCATACCAGAGGAATATTTTTATCAGCTATTTTATAAAAAAGGAAAAAAAAAAAATCAGTTTTGTAGTCGACTTCTATAAACACATTGTATAGAAAGTGGTTAAAGGCCTTAGGGGAGAAATTCTGTCCTGTATTTCTTCTTTATATCTCTTGAAGAGGAACTGCAGTTATGGAACAATTTTTAAACTTTTTACTTTTAAAAACTTTTTTGTTTGGAAAGAAGGGATGAAGCAGGGCCTCGTTCCTCAGGCCGGGCTGAAGAACTTCACCCGGTTCATACCTGACTGTTCATAAAGATCACGGTACTACAGCATGAGTTACTATGGTAACACATCACCTTCAGATCAAAGCTGCTCTTGCATCAAAATGTGCAACGCTTTACAAATACTCATTTTCTACTGACAAGCACCGACGGTTCTGTGAGATGTTCTTGTGATGTTCAGAATGTGTTACCTGCTCTGATTGGACACAAAATAAACAGCACGTTAAATTCTCTAAAGTTTCGTCTGAGTCAGGTTTATAAGAACACCTTGGCCTTTTTGAGGAACCAGGTTTGTGAGATGTGGTAAAACTCTAAAGTCTGGTTTAAACAAATGTTTTAATACTGGTTTTGATGTTCGCTTGTTGACTTTGCCTCGTTTACTTACTGTATTAGCTTAGGTGAGTCAAGTCATTGTTAGTGTAGCAAAACATAAACCCAAGATTGTTTAGACTCAAATCTGAAAAGTAAAAAAAAAAACAAAAAAAAACCCAAAGCCATAAAAACCAACTTTAGACCATAACAGTTTGCTATGGTGCGTCAAACTATTATACGTGTTACACATGACAAACTTAACTGCTAGCAACAACGGAAACGGGGCGGCTAAGCCTCATGGTTCTCGTTCTTAAACTGATATTTAAATCTGGTCACTCAAGTAAAATTTGCTTGACCAAAAACAGCCATTTTGCGCAAACAGGAAAAGATGCGTTAATGTTTCTCGTAGCTTTAGGTTTATCTAAGATAAAGTCTTAGATAAACCTTAAGTCTTTAAGCGAATTCATTAACTGGTTTCTTCTTTCTGAAAATATGAACGGTGGAACTGCTCAATAGTCAACATAACGTTGCTTGTTGTTCATAAAAACACTAGCTAATGTTAGCTAGCTGAACTATACGTTCTTATTTTTACTTGAGACTTTTGGAAGCTTAAACTAGACAAAACGGTTAATTACTAAGTTTGTTACATTCAGACTTATGTATAGTTTGTTACGTTTGCCAAGCTAGTTAGTTAGCTCACTGATGCTAGTCTAGCTGCGTTTGTCGATAACCCGCATCATTCTCGTATGTTTCGAGAGCCATCGCAGTTGCTCCGCTTCCTTGTTGCGTGGCCAAGTCGATGAGGGCCTGATAAACTGTATTAAAATAGGAGTAAACTTAACGTAAAACTCGAACATTCCTTAGAATTTACGTGTACATAACCTGTGCGGTATGACGGTTCATTGTTTCAGAGTGGTGCGTTGATCAGCTGGTTGATTAGCTGTGCTTTATGATTTGTGCACTTCATAATCAACCACAACACTTCGCCTGAACACCTGAACACTCGTGGTCTCGGTGCTTCATCGCTGGGTTTTATATCTCTGTTTGATGATGATTTCACTATTTTTCTGAAAAGCTGCTGTGGAATAAAGTTTTTCATAATTTTTATATGCAGTATGTAACTGGACTTTATAAGGACGACGTAAATAGAACTGTTGATTAAAACTGCATTACAGTGTTAAACACTTACAGGTTTCAATAAGCAATGACTGTTCTTTACTGTGAACACCATCAGTAGTGATATTGTTCTTAAGGGGTTTTAGCTTTTAAATACAAATGTACATTTACTTTTTTTCTCTTGTTTGTTTTGAATTTCTTTTCAGTAGTTGGTTTTTTTTGTGTGTAATTGGTGTTACCAATAAAATTGTAATAACATTTTGAGTGTTTTGAGTGTTTTGTGCTCCGTCCGCAATGTTTGATGTGATTTTCAAACTTCAGAATTCACAAAAAAGATCACTAAGAAATTTTCTCCACCAGACAGGGCACATTTTGCTCAGTTCCAGCTCTGAGCACGCAATCAAAAACAATGGTACTGGAGGTCATAGATCCGGAGGATGAAAGACCCTCCAGAACATAAGGCTGTCACAGTAGCCGTTTTCAGTGATATCTAAATAAAATTATTTAAATGAAATTTCCTGTTTTTTTTGTTGTATGTTATTCAAAAGTTAGAATAATTAAGATTTGTTGTAGATACACATTTAAAATTATTCTAATATGATGCCAACGTTCTATAGCGTTCAGTTTGTAGGAACCTGCAAAATAAAATACATTTTAATGATGTGTGGTGATTTAAGTGACTCTGTAATGACTAAGAAAGCTGTGTAGCATCTATAATGAAATTATAGTAAAATGAATATCCAGAATGGCTCAAATCTGCCCAAAACATACTCAACACAAGTATGTGAATAAAAATAACAATGATGGCTGAAGCATTGCAAATGCACTGCCCTTCTGTACCAAGAAGATAGAAGGTTTCTGGCCCTATGTGAAAAGTAATTGACCCCTTAGCCACTAAATCAACCAGTTAACCAGATTCAGTTGACTATTAGGTTCAGTTTTACCGGCCACACCCAGGCGTGATCACTGCCAGACCTGCTTAATCTAAATATTACGTAAATAGAACCTGTCTGACAATGTGAAGCAGCTACAAGTTCTCAAAAAGCAGCACATGATGCCACGATCTGAAGAGATTCAAATACAGATGCAAAACAAAGTTGCTGAAATCTACCTGCCTGGAAGGGGTTACAGAGCTCTGTGAGAGCTGTTATCAACAAATAGAGAAAACCGGGAACAGTGGTTAACCTTCCCAGTAGTGGCTGGCCTACCAAAATTTCATCATGAGTGCATTGACGGCTCATCCAGAAGGTCAAAAATGCACCCAGATAAACATTTAAAGAGCTGCAGGCCTCATCTGCCTCAGTTCAGGTTAATGTACACAATTCCACAATAAGAAAGAGGACAACTGGGAAAAAAATGGTATCTATGGCAGAGTTGCATGGTGCAAACAACTCGCATTTTCCAAAAAACATCTAGACGACTCCCAAAACTTTTGGGATCGTATTCCATGGACTGAAGAGTCAAAGGTGGAACTTTTTGGAAGACATGGGTCCCATTATATCTGGTATAAAGCTGACACCACATTCTACCATAAGAACATCATACCAACAGTGAAACATGGTGGCGGTAGTGTGATGGTCTCGGGCTGCTTTGATTCTGCAGGACCTGGACGACTTGTCATAATTGATGGACCCATGAATTCTGCTATCTATTAGAAAATCCTGAAGGAAAATGTCTGCCTGTAAGTTTATAGCCTAAAGCTCAAGGGCAGTTGGGTTATGCAGCAGGACAATGATCTGAAGCACACAAGCAAGTCAATCTCTGAATGGCTCAAAAGAAAGAAAATTAAGGTTTTGTAGTGGCCGAGTCAAAGTCCTGACCTGAATCTACTGAGATGCTGTTGTGAGACCTTAAACACGCAGTTTATGCTCAAAAACCCTCCAATGCAGCTTAATTAAATAAATTCTTCAGAAAAGAGTGGGCCAGAGTTCCTCCACAGTGATGTAAATGACTCACCACAACTTATCACAAATGTTTGATTGCAGCTGTTACTGCCGAGTGCGGCACAGCCAGTTATTAGGTTTGGGGGGCAATAACTTTTTCACATGGGTGACATAGTGTGGAGAAGGGGGCGTGGCCGAGCGTCAAATGCGGGACGGAGAAGCCGGTCGGGCTGAACCAGCAGGCTAACTAGCTGATTATGTTCACCTGTGCCTTGTTTCTGCCAGCCCACTTATAGGCAATCTCTTCCTTCAGTAGGCGGCAGAGCCCAGAGACAGAAGGAGACCACTGGAGGCGTGAGAGCTGGGCTAAACCGAACCGAACCGAACCGAACCGAACTGGACTGAACTGACCTGAACAGATCAGGAAAAAAAAGGTGGACAGAAAGGACTGAAAAGTCCTAGCGAGCATCTTGTCTTTGTGAGCTGAAAAGCCGAGTATTTTGTTTTTGCATTGTGAATAAAGAAAAAGCTCTCCAGATTCACACCTGCCCCCGGTGTCTTTCCTACTCCCATCATTAATACTTCCACACATAGGTTATGAATAAATCTTTATCTTCAATAAACTGAATGATCATTTATAAGCTGGATTATGTGGTTATTGATTTTGTCTTTATCATATATTAAAATTAGTTAGATGATTTGAACAATGTAAATGTGAAAAATAAGTAAAATCAGAAGAAATTAGGTGAGCGGCAAAAACTTTTACACAGCACTGTACTTACATGCCAAAATATTCCAAAACATTGGAACGGTGGTGTGAATATACACTATATGCTCACAAATATGTGGACACTTGACTGTCACACCTACATGAGCTTGTTGGCTGTTCCACCAGCACTTAGTCTCTCTGCTCCGGAGCTCTGGAGAAGAGGATGCCACCCCAGGGAATGATTGGTGGCCCACATGGCCAAGAGCCCGTACCCATGGTGTGATTACTGGAACAGTGGACATTCCGTAACCCCTGTTTGGAGAGAATACGAGGGGGCGGTGTGTCCCCAAGCACCCTAACAACTCTACTTAGACTTTGCTTAAACTTTGCGGGGGGTCACTGGGATGGCTCCTTTGAAAAGGTGAGCTATGTAATGACCTGCTACTGGGCATGGACGAGCAGGAGGTGTGGCCAAGCATGGAGCACCATGGGAAGTACCGGATTTGAAGCAAGAGAGACTTAAAACATGTAAATAAGTTGCTGTTGCTGGGTTGAGGATGTGATGTGTTGTATGTGGTATTTTGTGCTGGGCTGTGGTGGTAGGGGAGCGGTGTGGGTGCCTGTCGTCAAGGTAAGTTGTATGGGTAATGATGGCCTGCTTGCTATCCCAGCAGTTTGGGAGTAATAGGTTGGTGTTGCTGCTAAGTTCAATAGAAGAGCATTCTTTTAAAGTTCTATATTTCCTGTGTTTACTTAGTCTTTGCTGATGTCATGAGATAATAAACTGGTTAAGAGTTACATCAATTTCATTTCATGTACTTGTGCCTGGCTCTCTGTTTCTATGCCTGTTTCTTTTGCTTTCTTCTTTCTCTGTCCTTGCAAATTACTGAAAAAGCATACGTTGAAAATACTATAGAAAAGTCTGTCTCGAACAAACCCCAGCTAACAGGAAGGCAGAAACTCAGACAGTTAACCAGATATAATACAGCTTAATGTACCCGCTGAGTTCCGAATTGCATTACATGATACTGTGCCATCAATGTACTCGTGAACAGTTTCTCATATTGTGGAGTTATGAGTATGTTATGAGTAGGTAACACAATGCAATTCAATGCAATGCAAAAAATGAATTATTCTTAATTAATGTAGCCAACTATAAAGACTGTAGCCTAAACTGAGCAGCTGCTGGAGCTAGACTAAAGCTTGCTGATTTAGCTAGCACTGTTACGAGTGCTGGTGATGTATCGGGCCCTTGGCGTGACGGAGGGGCTTGTGTGGTCTAGGGATCTTAAAAGCTAAGTCGTCTGGAGCAGTATGCTTCTGGTAGGGTCTCCCAAGGCGAACGGGTCTGGAGTGAAAACCCAGACCAACGTGATCCAAAATCCCCAATGACCAATGGACACAATATATCATGTACCCTACCTGGGAGACGCTTCCCCTGGCGCCAGTCCTGGGAATAGTGTTTCTCAGCGTGTGCCAAGTGGTGTCTCAGCCTGAAGAGGCAATGTGGGGGCCCAATGCCCACAAGGTTATGAATGCGGGACTGATGCAGTTACTTATGAGCAGAGGGAGATGGGGGAGATGGCAGGGAGGTCCTTGGCACGTGGAAAGGTTACGTTCTAGGGGTGAAGGAGCTGGATCTTGTGCTGGAGGTTGAGAGGTACCAACTAGACATAGTTGGGCTCAACTCCATTCACAGTGTTGGCTCTGGAACGAAACTCCTTGCTAGGAGTTGTACAGGGTAAGAGGCGCTGGGATGGTATGGGATACTCACACGCCCCAGCTGACTGCCGTGCAGTTGGAGTTTATCCCAGTGGATGAGAGAGAATCAGAATTGCAGGGAGGAATCTCTGGCTGTTTTGTATGTTTATGCACCAAACAATAGTTTAAAATGTGCAGCCTTCTTGAAGTGAGTGTGTGAGATTCTGGAAAAGAGCCCCACCTGCAGACTCCATAGTTTGGCTGGGAGACTTCAATGCTAATGTTGGCAATGACTAGGAAACTTAGAGGGGGTGAAGAACTGCCTGCCCAATCTAAACCCAAATGGCATATTGTTATTAGACATCTGTGCTAGTCATGGATTGTCCATAATGAACATCATGTTCAAACAAAAGGATGTTCGTAGGTCAATGATTGACATTGTTGTCATTCCATCTGACTTAGGACCATGTGTTTTGAAGACTCGAGTGAAGAGAGGTGCTGAGCTGTCAACCAATCACCATCTGGTGGTGAGTTGGATCAGATTTCAGGGAAGACTGGTGGTCAGACCTGGTAGACCCAAGTAGATAGTGAGGGTATGTTAGGAACGACTGGCAGAGGCCCCTGTTTGGAATGATATTAACTCCCACCTCTGGGAGAACTTTTCTCATGGGCCAGAGAAGGTAGGGGACATGGAGTCTGAATGAACCCTTTAAAAAAACCTCCATTGTGAAACCCGTCAGGTGTAGCTGTGGCCAAAATCTTGCTGGTGCTTGTCAAGGCAGCGATCCAAGAACCCCCTAGTGGACACCGACGGTGAGGGAGGCCATTAAGCTGAAGAAGGAGGCCTTCAGGGACTGGTTGGCCTAGAGGACTCCCGCCTCAACAGAAAAGTACTGATGGGCAAAAAAGCAGCAGAGGTGGCAGAAGCAAAATACAGAACATGGGAGGAGTTTGGAGAGGCCGTGGACAAGGACTTTCGGTTGGCTTCAAGGAGGTTCTGGACAACTGTCTGGTGACTTAGGAGTGGTCGGAGTAGCTTCGCTCAATTCAGCCTCGTTGGAGAAACTCTGACGTCATTAGGGGATATTGTCGGTTGGTGGAAGGAGCACTTTGAGGAACTCAAACACCTGAGAGGCAAAGCTCTCTGTTTAACAGTTGGTCTACATCCCAACCCTCACCTATGGTCATCAGCTTTGGGTAATGACTGAAAGAATGAGATCGCGGACATAAGTGGCAGAAATTAGCTTTCTTCGCAGGGTGGCGGGCTACACTCTACTGAGAGAGTGGCCCAGAGGAGCTCAAAGTAGAGCCACTACTCCTCCACATTGAGAGGAGCCAGTTGAGGTGGTTTGGGCATCTGATTAGGATGCCCCTGGCTGCCTCCCACTGGAGGTTTACCAGGCACGGCCAACTGGGACGAGACCCCGAGGCTGTCCTAGGACCCACTGGAGGGATTATGTCTCCAAGTTGGCCTGGGAGCAGCTCAGAATCCCCCAGAATTAGCTGGAAGAAGTTGCAGGGGACAGGATCGTCTGGGATTCTCTGTTTTCCCTATTGCTACCGCTACCCTGGATCAAGTGGTTTAAGAAAATGAATGAATAATTGAATGAATGAATAAATGAATCAACCACCGCTGATCTGAGATCGGCTCAGATCCAGTCGCAGCTGATTGGGTCTTGTTGCTGTTTCCACACTTAATCTCATAAAACATTTCCAAAACAGTGACAGCACTCACAGAAAACAAATCCAATGTCACTATCCTAAAAATGCAGTTTATTAAATATTATTTTCCTGTTTGACCATGTAGGCCTGGGAGTAGGAGTAGAGTAGGCTAACTACATTATCAGTTACATTAAATCTCATCTACATTAAATCTCATGAATGAGGATGTGTGAAAAAAAAAACTTTCTGAAACTATCGAGGTCTGGATCTCAGTGTCCTCATAGCTAGTTACGGCCATGTCTAGCAGGGCAGACATTCACACACTAATGTGTGGCAGAGGTGTCAGACAGTGTCATGTTTAAAGTCACTGAGCTCTTCAGTGTAAACCATTCTGCTGCCAGTGATTATCTATGGGGATTGCATGGCTATGTGCTTGATTTTACACACCTGTTAGCAATGGGTCTGTCTGAAACACCTGAACGCACTAACTAGGAGGGGTGTCTACATACCTTTGCTGTATATTGTATATACAGCAGTGTGCAAAGGTTTGAACACCCCTGGTTAAATGTATTTGTTGATTTTCTGAATGTAAAGAAGTTACACATCCTCTACAGAAGTCCTCTCTGCACCCTTTAATACAAAGTTACTGTTTAATTAAGCTTGACATATTTGGAAAGAAAACAAAAATAAAATATTAAAAATGCCATAACTTTTACACAGGCCACATCTGATGTTTTCCCCAAGTAAACTCAAATAAACACAAACAAATAGTAATTGTGCATTAAAATGTGTCAAAGTGTGTTAAGGATGTGTTAATGTACTTTCATTTTAAAAAAAAAAATGTACCACAGCATGGAATTTGGCCATATAATGGAATTTGGCTATATAATGATCAATATTTTATTTTGCACAATTTAGATTTAGCTGTTAAACATTTGCATTTGTGCACAAGAAAGTCAACGCATATATTAAACAAAATAAGCAATATTTATTAGCCACCCCTCCAGTATAAATTCTACAACAATTTTAACAAAAAAAAAACATTTTTTTTTTGTTTATTTATGTGTGAAACACACACACACACACACACACACACACACACACACACACACAGAGACACACACACACATCATCATCATCATCTACACCGCTTATCCCTCTGGGTCGCAGGGGGTGCTGGAGCCTATCCCAGCAGTTCTTGATTAAATTTAATTTAATTTATTTGAATTTTTTTATTTACTCTGAGCTGAACATCGATCTCATTTGAGAGCGATCCCTGATTTTTTTTTTTATCTGTAGTAAATATAGTATATATATATTACGGAAAAAAACAACACAATATTCTTTTTTTGTTTTGTTTTGTTTTGTTTTTCAGTTTCGGCCGATGACGTCACAGGCCAGCTCGTCGACCTTGTGTGAAAAACAGCGCTGTTTTTCTTATTTATTTATTTATTTATTTATTTGTTTATTTATTCAATTATCTATTTATTTTATATTTATTTTATTTTATTTCATCTGAGCCGAGCACGGCGACCATTCTATCGCCTCATTTGAGCGATAACTGATTTTTATTTCTCTCTAAGTAGATTTTTATATATATTTATTAAATTTGCGTCGCCTTTGTTTGAGAGACTTTTTTCTTCGCCCCCCCTCACCTCGGTTTCCGGTCCCCGAGCGGAAGTTGCTCTGTAAAGCCGAGGCCTCTGATTTCCAATGGCGAGAGAGAACTGTCCGAACAGAAAAGCCGAATTAAATCAATATTAAATTAATATCTGTGCGGACAAACCGGACTCGGAGTTAGTTTGTGAAATATAACATTAGCGGAGCTGCGATGGACAGACGCGGGGCTGTTTCTCCCCTCGAATCCGGTAACGCTGCGTTAAAGCGCTCAGAGCTGTTTTTAGTGACTGTTTGCACTTTAATATGTTTCAAAAACACAAAACATCTCCTTATATTTGCTTTCTTTTCTTGCAGAGCTTTATTTCCTAATTTCTCGCTTTTTGACCACCGGTCCCTGTCGGAGAGCGGCGGAGGTGAGAGAGCTGCTGTTTGTGTTTATCATTATAAAGCTGTGTTTACTCTGTAATATGTTTATTCCCTTTCAAAGTTAGATTGGATATTAATTATCATTATGTTTTGCAGGCTCTTGTTAGTGAACTGGAGGAACATCAGGTGTGTATGTGTGTGTGTGTGCGGTCGTGTGTTTATGCAGTTCGCTGGCTTCTTTTTTCGAATTGTCCGTTCCACCTTAAATTATGCAGCAGTTACGTTCTGGCGTTTGAGGCGCCAGAATGTAACTGCTGCATCATTTAAGGTGGAACGGACAATTCGAAAAAAAGAGGCAGCAGCTTTGCATTTCTGGTCATACTAAAAGGGCGAATGTTAAGTCAATTTAGAGAAGTGGTTCAAATTCAGCTGAAAAGGGCTACAAATTCTGTTTAAAAGCTTCAGCCTACAGTTTATTCTTTCCTGGTGGTAATATAATGACAGCATAATAAAAACTGGGCTTCTGATATTGACCTGAGTTTGTGCGTCATTGTGCACCAGTTTGTGACCCTTCTTCTGGACAAGCCCATCGTTTGTACTCAAATGCCAGGGAGCATATCTTTGAGTTTTTCATTTGCGTATATCCCAGAATCCTGTAACAGGCTGAAAATCTACATTATAATATTTCCATGTGCCGTCTAGAGTTTGTATGTATGCAGTTAATGAGCTGTTTGTTTGACCTGTAATTAAGGGCAAATATTTTGTATTAAGAACAATAATAAATAAACGAAAGACATGCAGCCTGTTTTGAATTTATTGCTTTTGTGATGTCACAAACGCCAATGCGTTTGCATATATCCACCTGTTTGGCCTAGAGCAGTTTAGCCTGAATGAAGCAGCCATTCAGACTGAAGCCCATTTAAATAGAAGTCTTAGCGTGCAGACACAGCGTGCATAATGGTGGAGGATGGAGAAGTTGGGAAGTGTTCATTTAAGATGAAATATGTTTATTGGTACACATCATAAGTAGATTAAGCAGAATGCAGAAAACAGGACAATATGGGCTCTTTAAAACTGGACCATAATCCTGATCTCATTTCTAAACTGACTGTTTTGCCCTCAGCTTCTTCCACGCAGACTGGATTGGGAAGGAAATGAACATCCAAGATCATATGAAGACTTAGTAAGTCTGCATGATTTTGCCTTTTTTAAGAACTCTCTAGTAAAGGAAATGCTTATATACAGTAATGTGTGTCTGTGTGTGTGTATATGTCTGTGTGTGTATGTGTAATTTTTAAATAGACACACACACCCATGTGCACAGTAGCCTTGTCTGTAATATATTACGTTTTTCTTTCTTATTTGTTTTCTAGCTAAATCAATTTATCTGTTTATTATTTAGTGTTGTGTTGCTGTTAGAGTGGCAGATACGCTAGAACTGACCAATTTGCTTTGTTAAAGCAGTTTTTAATTAATAACTCTGACCTGCATTATGACAGGCTGGTGTGGGAAGGTGAGACGTAGAGTCGTAACAAACTGAATGTGAGAGGAAACAATAAATGAATTAATTTGAGACATCATGGGACTTACGATGAAAACAGAAGTGTCAGCTTGTAATTTGGCACTCTGCCACGTTTAGAGCTCAGTGCTGAGTAGTGTTTATTTGTTAACTATGTATTCTAACGTGTTCGGCAGAATGAATGTGTTTCGCTGCCTGTCCATGCTGTGGTGACATGTCACAGCTTGCTGACATCAGCAACATGACGCTTGCATTTCATTACAAACTCTGGTGCTGCCGCATCTCACTAACGGCTGTTTCTCTCAGGACAAAAATCTAATCTTTGCTTAAAGAGGACCTGTTGTGCTTATTTTCAGTGTTCATACTTTTATTTACATCTACTAGAATAGATTTAGCCGCTTCAATGTTCCAAAAACATATTATTGTCCTCATACTGTTCATCTCTATTCACCCTCTGTCTGAAACGCTCTGTTAGAGCTCCTGTGTCTTTAAGCTCCACCTCCCAATGAGCCCAGCGTGCTCCGATTGGTCGGCTTGCCCACTCTGTTCTGATCAGTCAGCCTCCAGAGCAGTCCCGCCCCTCCAGGTTCCGCCCCTGTCCTGCAGTCTGCAGACAGACCATTCTCTCCTGAGCAGCTGTAAACTCCGCTGTGGCTGTTTCTCCAGTGGCATCGGTTCTGCAGATCAGTTTGATCCAGAGTGGATCCTGAAAGTCGGGTCAGCATCATCTCCACACGGATACAACACTGAACACCCTCTTCCTCCTCCTGTAGCCGCTGTGCGCTGTGTGAGGGGGCGGAGCTCACCGGTAGGTGGGCAGTAAGGACTGTGTCATGAGATGATTTCATCTTGTAACAAAGGAAAAGGGCTGGAATTCCAACACGGCGTTTCAGGCAGCTGCGATAAGTGTTTTCTGTGGGAGAGAGTTTGTCCCTCTGGATGGAACACTAAGCTTTGGGACTCTGCAGAATGTTAACATGCACAGAAAGCTGCAACACAGTGAAGGAAAGGGAAAAACTGGAAAAGCCGAATAGGTTCCCTATAATTCTTCAGGTGATTATGTGAAACTGAGGTGTGGGTGTGTGTGTTCAGTGTGGCGTATCAGCTCTACAGTACTAGCAGTGTGAGCTGTTTAGTAAACATGGTGAGGGAGAAAGACGGCTAATCAGCCAGTTTGGCCACTTTTGGCTCGTACTGTAATAGATGCAAACAATAACAAAAAATAATTAAATCATTAATTGCAATTATTGATATGACAGTTAATCTGCAGCTAAAATTTCATTATTGTGACAGCTGCGTTTTGAAGGCTGATTGATATCAGGAGAATTGTGGAGGTCTAAAATTGCATTCAGACAACAGGTAGCAGGTTTGGTTGGATTAAAATGAGCGCTGTTGTGATTTCTCTGTTCTTGCGCTTTGTTAGAGTGAGTGAGAATGCTGCTGAACTCTGGAGGGCCAAATAAGTGGGCTGAGACCCCCTGAGCAGGTCACTCTTGCTTCAAAACCAGCTTCGGTGTGGCTGGTATATGAGTGCGATACAAACCAGCGTCTCCTCTCTGTAGAACCTCTCTGCTTCATGACGTTGAGTTTCTGAAGCTGTTTTGATGCACGCACGTGTTTTAGGGCTGCAACTAACAATTATTTTTATTGTTGATTAATCTGTTGATAATTTTCTTGATTAATCGATTAGTTGTTTGGTCTATAAATTGTCAGAAAATGGTGTAAATTGTCGATCAGTGTTCAAAGCCCAAGATGACGTCTATCAAAGATATTCAGATTTATTTTGGTGACACAGAGGAGTAAAGAAACCAGAAAAAATTCAAATTTAAGCAGCAGAAATCAGAGAATTTTAACTTTTTTAATTACTCAAACGATTAATCGATTACCAAAATAGTTGGTGATTAATTTACAACTAATTGATTCATCGATTAATTGTTGCAGCTCTGTGTTTATCGTCTCATCAGCTCTGAATCGGTAATTATAGAACGGATAGTTTGGGTTTCAAAGTGACGTTTTAAGTCATTATAAAATACTCCATGTACATATTTGACTGCACACACATTATATTCTGTATTAATGTGCTGAGATTTCTCCTTTCTGTAAAAGCAGTGAGCCACTTGGCTGTTACAGGCATTTCATCTCCTCTGCATTGTAACCACGGCAACACGGAGTCTCATGGCTCATTCATCTAATATCACAAGTCATAAAGAAAACCAGCGCAGAGAGAACAGAGAATAGCGCGATTCAGAAAGTTCAGTGGACGTTATAACAGTTACTGTACGTCATATAATCTGCCAGTGTAAAACAGTTAGTTTTACTCGTATGACTTTTGTTTACATTATTTGTTTGATGGTAAATGTGTCTGTGTGATCTCTAAGAGAACCAGAACTCAGATGAAATGGTGTAATTTGCTGCTTTGATCTGGACCAAGAGAACCAACTACAAGTATAAACGCACTGAACACTCACACCTTCGTGCAGCTTTCCAACAATTAGAACGTCAGCTCGACCTTTGCTTTCTGTGAATGTGGATTTTACACAAACCTCTGAACGCCGTCCGTCTTTCTGCGCGTGGGATGAAGCAGTGATTTAAAACAACTGATCAGAAATTTGATGAATTGATTGATTGTTATTCAGTACTCTGTTCTGAGTCTGTGAGGGGCTCGGTCGGCACTTCTGGAACACTGAACACCTGGATCATAAAAATATTTAGACCAATTACAGAGAGTCTGTAAACAACAACACCCAGCATAAAGTAACTGTGTACTGTTGCAGTCCTGAAATCTGATTGGCTGATCTGCATTTAAACCTGTTGTAAAATATTCAGATATGCGCACCTGCAGTTCTGTGTTAATGCAGGAAATCACTAAGAATCATTGTGCTGAATCCACTGTCAGTCTGTTTGCATGGAGCACCGAGTGAACTGATGGTTAAAGAACCCAGAAAGAACCTGATTCTGTTTAATCTGAGGGACTGAAAACTTATTTTCTTAATAACTCAACCAAAATGTTGCAGGCTAAAAGTTAGCAAACAGGCAATAAAGGTTAAAAGATAATGGGCTAAAATGTAGCAGGCTAAATTGGCTAAAAGATGGCTAACAGGCTAAACTGGCTAAATGAGAGTCAGTAAGCTAAAAGATACCTGACAGGCTAGTAGGGAGCTAACAGGCTAAAATAAAGCAGACTAAACAGGCTAAAAGTTAGCTAACAGGCTTAAACAGCGCTAAAACTCTATAGAGGCTAAATAATAACAGGCTAAAAGAGTGTTGAGGTTAATCAGGCTAAAATATAGCTAACAGAATTAAAGAGTGTCGAGAGGCTAAAGAGGCTAAATATACTTAACAGGTTAAACAGACTAAAACATAGATGAAAAGATAGATTAATCAGTGCTGTATTATGATGTTTTTCCTTATTATGTGTTTAAACATATTAGCATATGCTAAACAAGCTACATTTCTTGGTGGAAAGATTGTTAATTGTGATTATTATTAATAATCGGTTATTTACTAACTATGTATTTTATCGTGTTTTATGTTATCACCATTCATTAAAGCAGTAATCCACTTGAGACTGTGTGTTCAGTGATTTTATCCTGTGATAATATTACAGTAACACACAGCATCTCACAGCAGGTAGGGATGGGCAGCTTCTGAGTGAAGTGATGAAGCTCTTCACGTTAATTTCAGTCTTCCTAAATGATTAGTAGCCCAGCGACACCATCAGTCTGTTCTGCTGGGAGCAAAGAATCAGATCTTATTTACACTTAAAGACATTCAGCCTGTGTGTTTTGTGCTTCGTCTAATGTGGAGCTGCATCTCAAATCAACTCCAGCTCAGCTGAGACCCCAGCTGTGAGTGAAAGAGCTTGTACAGTTTCAGCTCCTGTCGCGGTTTTGCTTGTGTTGTGAGGAGCAAAAGACCTTTTTTGATACAGTCAGTATGTGTTCTGCCAATACATATATTTTTTGTTGCGTATTCTGCTTCAAATAATTTGGCAAAATTCTAAAAAAAAACTAAAAAAATTGCATTGCAACCAGTGTGTGTAGATTTGATGTGAAAAAATTGCGTCCAAGTATTTCACATAACGGCCTTTATTATTATTATCATCACTTATTATTATTAATTATTATTATTATTATTATTATTATTATTATTATTATTATTGTTGTCGTTATTATTATACTCTTATTTTGGTGTATTTCTTTTTTTTTTTTTTAGTTCAGAAACCTCAGAAAAATTAAACATGATGATTTATTTGCTGTCTGGTAAAAATCTTGATGTTACGTTGTTCCTGTGTGTTCCACCAGGTTGCCGCCAACAAGCATATCGCCCCAGATCACCTGCTGCAGGTGTGCAGGCAGATCGGCCCGGTTCTGGACAGGGAGGTGCCGTCCGGTGTTTCAGGGGTGCGCTCTCTTTTGGGGACAGGTAGACACTCATTACTGCGTACAGCTAAAGGTGAGTCTGCGTTCTTACCGCGTTGAACCTGTTGACTGTTTGTCTGAGCGTGTGAGATGTTCTGATCTGCTCTCCTCTCGCGGTGAAGATTGCGGCGGGAGTCGATGGAAAAGCTCGTCCTTCGCCGCGCTCCACAGAGGGAGACCGCCGGAGAGGCCTCTAAGCTGCAGGGACGCCCCGAATTTGGGTGAGTTTTCTGTTTTATTTGGTTTGTGGAGCTGCTTTCTCTGTATGTGCTGCAGGGTTACTGTGTCCTCTCTTATTTGAGGGTTTTTATGTGTGTGGAGTAGTGCAGGTGCGTTTGGGGTGAAAATTGCTTTACAGGAAATGCACTTCAGTCACTTCCTGTGCACCTGTTCTTCAGAGGTCTAATGAACCGTGAGATAATTTTGCTAAACCAGAGTGGAGCTTTCAGGAAAGCAGATCAGGACAGAATGCAAATTCAGCACCAAAGACAGATCCACGTCCTTTTTTTTTTCAGTATTCAGTGCGTTATAGTGTGTATGACTATAAAAGTCCGCCTGTATTATATTTTTAAAGATTTAAAGGTTTTGTCGTAGATAAATGAGTTATGTGTAAAGTGAATGCATGCGCTGTAATCACAAAATTCAGATTTCAGTTCAATTCATTATGATAAACCAATTTGGTACATTTTTCATACAATAAAAACAAGGAGTGGCTGAAAATGTGCCCTATGCTAATATGATATTATATGATAATATGTGCCTCATGCTCTTATTTCTATTATCAGTTTATTAGAGCATTTACCCTGATTAAAGTTAAATATTGGAAGCAAAAGTTGTGCTTTTTGTCCAGATCCAACACTTTACACTACGATATGCTTTGATACAACACAATGCAATATAATATGCTGCCATATATGCTATAATACATTGTGGTACGATACGATACAATGCAAATAAATACATTGCAAAATTTTGGTACAGTAATATACACCGATCAGGCATAACATTATGGCCACCTACTGCTGTGTCAGACCAGCGCAGCACACACTGACTCACCACCATCACGTCAGTGTTACTGCAGTGCTGAGAATGATCCACCACCCAAATAGTACCTGCTCTGTGATGGTCCATGGGGGTCCTGACCACTGAAGAACAGGGTAAAAGGGGGATAACAAAGTCTGCAGAGAAACAGATGGACTACAGTCTGTAATTGTAGAACTACAAAGTGCATCTATATAGTAAGTGGAGCTAATAAAATGGACAATGAGCATAGAAACAAGGAGGTGGACATAATGTTATGCTACAATACAGTTCGAAAGAGTACACTTAAATGATGGTTCTACAAGGGTTCTTTAGGGACAAAATGATTCTGTATAGAGCCATGAACATTCTGAGAACCCTTTGCATGGTTCTGTGCATCGTGAAAGTGTTCTTCAGATTAATGGAGAATGTGTTGTATATGGTTCTAGATAGCACTAAAAAGGGTTCTGCTATTCTTACGATGTCAATCTTACGATGTTACAATAGAAGAACCATTTTTAGTGCTATTTAGAACCATTTTCAAAAAGGTTCTATATAGAACTGTCTACAGCACATTCTCCATCAATCTGAAGAAACATTTCATGATTTAAAGAACCCTTTAATCATGTAAAGAGTTCTTTGAGTGTTCATGGTTCTAAAAGCTTTTTTGAGTGTGTAGATTGTCATACAATAGGAAACACGCGACACGCTGCAATACAGTTCAATACAGAACGGTACTCGATGATTCAATTCACTACAGTTTTATAATATTCAGTACTCTGTGTTCTTTCATCTCAAATAAAGAGCTGTCTGGTTTCTGTCCGCAGTCGCTGAGCAAATCACTGTGTTTTCACTGTATTGTAGTTTTGGTTCCAGTTCGACTGTGGATGAGCAGATCAGAGAGAAGCTACAGTCTGTATTTGTGTGTGTTATTCTGTGTGTATGTGTGCGTGTGTGTGTGTGTGTGTGTGTGTGTGTGTGTGTGTGTGTGTGTGTGTGTGTGTAGTGGAGGTGTGTCGAGGCCGCGAGCTGACGGGAACACAGCGCTTCAGCTTCGTCCATCCTGTTAGCAACTATCAGCACTTGAAGATGCACAGGAGAATTCTGGGACATCTCTCCGCCGTTTACTGCATCGCCTTCGACCGAACGGGATCCAGAATTTTTACGGTCAGAGTTCACAATCACCTGCCGTTAAGAATGTTAGAATATTAATAAGTACTCTTATGTTGTAGATTTAAATATCATAAATTCTAAAGTGTTTCTAAATGTTTTCTTCTATTTTTAATGTTTGGAACAACAAGTTATTTAACGAGAAATAATATTCTAGAATCAACCACTTACCACTCCTGACACACAACCAGCAATCAGCTGTTTGGTTGTATTAAAAGCAGGGATTAAAGTATTTTTTCTTTGTTACCTTTTGGTCTTTAAGGTTTCGAAATTTCCTCAAAAGAGTAAATAAAATAACAAAATTTAAGGCGAATATTTTAGTTTCCATTTCAGCTGAGAATTTTCATGCTGGTGTGTCGCTTCTGCTGAGTCTACTGGCTCCAGAGAATGATGTTCAGTCCGGTTCCTCTCTGTTTCCTTCAGGGTTCAGATGATGCCTTGGTGAAGATCTGGTCCTCTTTTGACGGGAGGCTGCACTCCACCCTGCGAGGACACCATGCTGAGATATCAGACCTCGCTGTAAACCAGGAGAACACGCTGATCGCAGCCGGGAGCTGCGACAAAACCATCCGCGTCTGGTGCCTTCGTACCTGTGCCCCGGTGGCAGTCTTGCAGGGCCACAGTGGATCCATTACCTCTTTACAGGTGCGCTCTTCAGGTGGACAGGTGTAGGAATGAGATTAAAGAGGCTGTCCACTCAAATATGAGAAATATTAAAAGTATTATACCAAGGAATTGTCTTAAATTCATAGTTGGAGGTAAATATGAGCCCATTAAAATGCAAAAATGCTGCATATAATAAGTACAATCATCAATTTGTGTGCTTTCATTCAGCTGGTCTGGTTTGAACATATTTTTTATTCCTCCTTTAGTTTTCTCCGTTTGCCAAGGGCTCGAAAAGGTACATGGTTTCCACAGGAACTGATGCTACTGTCTGCTTCTGGCAGTGGGACGTCATTAACACCAGTTTCAGGTGAGTGATCCCCTCAATCCACTCAGGCCAAATCTTACAGCTCTTATTTGGGCAAAGTGTCTAATTGTGATTTTTCTGACCATAAATTTAGTCTTTTTTAGTTGGTACTGTGTCCTAAAGTAAGCATTGCAGCTTTAAACTCTTTTAAATAGCAATTTTGATATAAAAATGATTACTATTTCAATCTGAAACTGTGGATCATAAGCTGGTTCTTTCTCTGGTTTTGCAGCGATCGTCCACAGAAGTTCACAGAAAGGCCGCGGCCTGGTGTTCAGATGGTGTGCTCCTCGTTCAGCCCCGGTATGGTGGAAGGATCCAGTGCTTTTGTCAGATTCCTTCAGGTTCCTTTAACATAAACACTAAAACACTGAGTTTTTATTTGACACAGGTGGGGTGTTCCTGGCTACGGGCAGCACCGATGATGTCATCAGGATTTATTATTTGGGCAGTGGGAGTCCGGAGAAGATAGCAGAGCTCGATTCACACACGGTAAGAACGGTCAGATTGGCTGCTTCTCAGTTAAACTGACGTTGACCGCAGTGACCGAACATGATTCTGATCATCTAACTTGCTGTGATTTGTCTGATTTCAAGGACAAAGTGGACAGTATCCAGTTTTGTAATACAGGAGAGAGGTACGTATTTACAGACTTGTCTAATTATAAACTGTTTAAGTCCAAAATGCCGTAGCAGTTTTTAGTATAGAGTTTATTTAAAAGAATAGCAGCTGACATTAATAAAAAAATACTATTTTTATTTCTAATAAAGGTGCTGTTGGTCATATTATAGCATTAAATGTTTTTTTGTGTGTGTCCAGCCTCAGGGATTGGGCGATATGACCAAAATATTAATCATGTTGCTTTATTTATATAGCACAATTCATACACAAAGACAATTCAATGTGTTTACGCAAATAAAAGTAGAGGCTTATAAAATAAAAATAGAGAATAGAAGTGCTTAAGAGTAAATAAATGTAAAAATGTAGCTTAAAGAAATAAAAAAGACAATTAAAAGGAAATACATAACAAAATAAACATAAAAAGGAAACTTAAAGGCTTAAAGTGCAATAAGAATAGACATTTTCCTGATATACAGTACGTCTCAGGATGTTTTGACACAGACACAATACATTAGCCACTTTTTTAAAAATGAAACAGCTTAAAACTCTGGATGTAATGACTTTCTGCACTAAAACCAATTAAACAGGCCTAATTATGCTTTTTTTTAAATAATGAAAAATGCAACAGCTCAGTGTTCTTTAAGTACTGAAGATATCCTCAATATGCTCACGAAAGCTTATCATGCATCACGGTAATAAAATTTATCACAATGACGATGAAGTATCGTCATATTGCCCACCTCACCCAGCACAGAGAAGCTCTCATTAGGGTTCTAAAAATCTGTGTATCTGTAATGTATTCTGTAACTATCTGTAATAGTGTGTAATTTAATGACGTCTCTCTGGTGCTGCGTGTATGTAAAAAGAAGAATCAGTCATCACCGAAAAGTGCGATAAAAATCCAATTTAACATGGAGCCCTAGTTGTTTATATAATTTATTGTACGTATGTATTACAATATATTTCTGTGTATTGTGTTGCGTCTTGATGCTGCGGAAACAATTACCACCAACAATAAAATTATCAATCAGTCAAACTCACAGTCTTAAAGGTGCAGTGTGTAAGATTTAGTGATGAGGTTGCAAATTTCAGCCTGCTGAACCCCCCCTCCCTTTCCAAGCGTGTAGTAGAACCTACGGTGGCTGTCAGAGTTTCTGCCGTCACCTGTCCCGATTTTGTTTTGCTTCTTCATGTTTTCTCTTTTTTGTCGGTGAGGATTCACCCTTTCTAACTTTTTCTTGTGCTAAATAATAAGTCTGATCCTCCATCTGTCAAAATTTGGGTTCTCAGACTTCTGAAAGCACGAAATGGTGAGCAGCTTCGGCAGCAACCACTGATTCTTCTTCTTTTTACGTCCTCCAGCCGGAGCTACAGCGACCCAAATTCAAGCTGCCGCTTCAGCATGAAACGCTACAGGCATCTCTAGAGCCAGTGTTTGGTTTGACTGCTCTGGGCCACTGTAAAACATGGCGGCACAACATGGCAGCTATGTTGAAGATGAGCCGCTCCCTTTGTAGATATGAATGGTTCATTTTAAGCTAAAAAAAACAAATGATTATACACTAATGAAATATGGTTTTCTGTTCAAAATTCCATTTCTGCTAATAGATCCCCCAAAATTTTACACACTGCACCATTATACAGTGTAAAATCTGTAGCTGTTCTTAATGGTTGGATTATTTGCCATTTAGTTTTTATTATCAGTGTTATTGGTAACATCGATTAGTAGGTGCAGCCCTAATATTGGCTGATACAATTGGTTCTCAGATTAGTAGTTCATCATCAATGACGGTTCTCATGTCAGTCGGGCTGCGGTTCTGTCTGAATCAGTTCCAGGTTCACACAGTGAGTGTGATTAATGGATGATGACTGATAATGACAGGTGAAGGTGATGTAATGACTCTGGGTGTCTCTCAGGTTTGTGAGTGGAAGTTGTGACGGCACGGCTCGTATCTGGCGCCTCCATCAGAAGCACCAGTGGAGGAGTATTTTACTGGACATGTCCGCTACGCTGCCAGGGTACGAGCTCCTCTCAGCTCTTAGCAGATATCAGTCGTGTTCCTCACTGCACGCGGTTCTGCAGCGTTCATCTTTCTTTTCTGACCACAGCTCTGGGCCAACAACAGAAGAAGAGAACTTCTTCAAACCCAAGGTTACCATGGTGTCATGGGATCGCCACGACAACACGGTCATCACTGCTGTCAACAATCATCTCCTCAAAGTGTGGAACTCCTACACAGGGCAGCTGCTGCACATCTTAAAGGTGCGGGACATTACTAAACATGTTTCACTGAATATAGTTTTTCTGCTTTAAGACACTTTTTCTGATTCCTGGTGTCTTTTTGTCTGTCGATCATGCGGCAAGAAGCCGTAACCACCGTTAGGGTGAAACAGACTGTAACAGTGTTCTCTTTTTTACAGGGTCACGAGGCTGAAGTGTTCGTGCTGGAGCCTCATCCGTACGACCCCCGAGTCATGCTTTCTGCAGGGCATGATGGGAACGTTTTCATATGGGACCTTGTGAAAGGCACCAAGATTCAGCATTACTTTAACATGGTACACAGTCCTCATATTATCTTCATATACGGTATATTTACATGGGTTTGGTGTGGAAATTTTAGATGTCTTTACAGTGGTAGTGATAGGAACCAGGGGTTGCCGTGACTACAACACAAATATAGACATTTCATTTACTATCCAAAACCACCAGTGAACTTAAACATTTCCTCTGAGTTTTTATGGAAAGATGTTGATATATTAGTGGAAAATCTGAAATAATAAGTTTTCTTTGGGGACTATTTTGCCTCACAGCGCCCTGCATGTATCCCTCCACGATGAATGAGTTTTATGTTCTCAGAACTATCATAAAACAGTGTCTCAGACATCAGGCAGTGAATTCATAACCATTTCATGTAGTAACTTTCTGTGAGGGAGCTTTTAGAGGTGGATGTCTGGTTCCTATCACCACCACTGTGAACAATTCTGACTCGGCAAGCTTCTCTAGAACGGAGCGTTTCACACCAAACCACTCAGAATGTATCTGTTTAAAGCTTAACTGTTTAATTATGCTGGAAAATTGTTCCCAAATCTTTGGCTTCTTCTAATAAACCGATGCTCTTTTCAGCTAGTCTTGCTATACTGTGTTTAAAGACTATTTTTTTTGGTCTCCGTTGAATAAGTTTTGAGCTCTGAGAGGCTAAACATTGGGTTTTAATGTTTATTGTGGTCAGATTGAAGGTCAGGGACACGGTGCTGTGTTTGACTGCAAGTTCACCCCCGACGGTCATCGCTTCGCCTGCACGGACTCTCACGGTCATCTGGTGATTTTTGGATTCGGGAGTTCCAAGCCTTACGAAAAGGTTTGTGTTTATATTTCTAGAAAACCCGTCCTGTTAAAGACTTTGTGTAATTACATACATTCAGTTGTAGGTTGAACTGACTGTGTGGACTTTTACAGCTTCTTTTTAAAACCATAAAACCATTTTAAATTTTTCTGACTACTTTAGGCATTTATTTATTTATTTATTTATATTAGGTAAATTCGTTTTTCATATTGTATATGACAGAACACCTACACAACCTGAAATTAGCCAGAAATTAATCCAATACCATTCGCCAAACGTGTAGTCTCATTTTCGGAGTCTGACCAAATCGGCTGTGGGTCAAATGTGATCTTAAAAGTATCCATTTTCTGTTTGTGGCAAAGTAAGAGGTAAAAACGTTCAAATCGTTTGAGCGTCTCCTACAGCTGTCAAAGTTGTTAGTTAGCAACGGCGTCTCAGCGGAGTGATAGTGTTTGTGAAAAACTGTGCTGTTATTTTGCCAGAATGCTTTTCAGCCAATCCGCTTGCATGGCCGGAACTAACTGTTGTATAAAAACAAATGACACATCTTTTGACTGTAAAGGAAATCATTTAAAAAGAACATACACAAAAGAAAGTGAAAACAGTGCTTGGAACAGAAAATGAAATGAAAAAGGTTAACTCAAAACCAGCTGTTCCATTTAGTGTCTTTATAAACATTTAAGAGATCTGCTACTGGACCCGAGCCTGATGGGCCCCACAAAATGTCAGATTTAGGGCCGCGTGAGGGACGAATTTTCATATACAGTCGCTTTTTGAGCGACTTAGTTAATTAGTGATAATAGATTTTACTTTTTCTACAGATATTTCATGCACACATGTATTTTCTCTCTTTCTACCTTCTAATCTCGTAATTGCTCGTCTTTGTCTGCCTTCAAATCTCTGCTAAAAAACTTCCTTTTTTCTTCTCTTTAGTCTTCTTGATTTGTTTTTTGACGCTGTGTAAACCACCCTTGGGTTTGTGAAAGGCGCTATATAAGTTGAACTTATTATCATTATTTAATGAGTCAGTTGGGCTCCATGAGATGAAGCACATAAATGTGCGTACTGTGACTGGGAACCCCAGTCAGTTCCGCCTGATGGATGCTGAGCCACCGACTGTAAGACGTTATTCGTTAAGAAACGTGATGATGAATTCAGTGCCTCACCAGATTTCCTCTGAAACTTGCTGCAGCTTCCAGATCAGGTGTTTTTTCACACGGACTACCGGCCGTTGATCAGAGACTCCAACGGGTTCGTGCTGGACGAGCAGACCCAACAGGCTCCTCACCTCATGCCTCCCCCCTTCCTGGTCGATGTGGACGGGAACCCTCATCCCCCCCGATATCAGAGGCTGGTGCCTGGCAGGGAGAACTTCGCAGATGAACACCTGGTTCCTCAGCTGGGCTATGTTGCGACGAGTAAGACACCACAGACATCTCCGCTCGTTTTTTAGCCTGATTGATCACTGCTGAATATTATAAAAGCACACCAAAAGATATTGTTGCGTGTGTGCAATTGTCTCTCTCTCTCTCTCTCTCTCATATATATATATATATATATATATATATATATATATATATATATAAGCATATTTATGTAAGTTAAGTTGGCTTTTTTTACAAAAGCTCAGAGGATTTCACGCCCCTCACTCCGGCCCTGTTCTGTGTGCAGGTGACGGCGAGGTGGTGGAGCAGGTGATCAGTCAGCAGCCGGCTGAGAGTGAGGATCCTCAGGCACGCCGCAGTGTTCTGGACGACGCTATCCGCCAACTCCAGGAACAACAGGACCGGCAGGCTGGAGGACCTGCTGTACCCGCCGCGATAGGAGCACCAGGAACCCCCAGGAGAGGTACTGACTCCACACCTTACACATTCGCTGCCTCAGGGTTTCATCAGCTCAATGCTCAGACAAGTAAGAACAGCTTATTTCAGGCTCCGCCCACAATGTGTGGTCTCACAATGTGTGGTCTCACAAAGCTACTGTTATGAAGTTGGACAGGCTTTTCGCAAGTCTGTTCTATAGTTTCTCATTCGGTTGAATGAATAACTGACTCTAAATGTAGATATTGTGATATAAACTGAGTCGGTTCTACAGTTTCTCATTAGTTTGAATGAATAACTGACTCTAAATGTAGGTATTGTGATATAAACTGATTCCGTTCTACAGTTTCTCATTATATGTAGCAGGAATACAAATTCCTTGTATGTGTAAGCATACCTGGGCAATAAAGCTTGATTGTGATTCTGATTCTGATTTTTACCAGCATAGCAGTAGCTAATAAAGAACAGAGCCTGGAGAGAATAATTAAGCTGTTTGTGGAGAAAAATAAATGTGTCCACTAGAGCTGAGACAGAAAGAGACTTTGAAAAATCAATAAATTATCATCATTTAAAACCGTGGCTGTTTTATATTTTTACATGTTCAGTATGTGTAGGACATTTTCAGTTTGTGCCAGAGGGGGGCGACAGAGTCTTGCAGGCTTTTTCACACTGTGTGAGTTTATAGACAAGCTTAAACTTATTAACAGCCTTTCAGTTGCACTGGCTAAAAGAAAAGTAACTGGACAGCTGAAATGTTGGCTTGTACAGTGAAATGCTAAAATAATTTTCACTCTTGCTGATCTTTGTTCATTAAACCCAAACGAGGGGAAGACTTAGAAGAGACTAAAACAACATATGAGAGTTTTATAGTCAGTGTTATAATATAATGTTATGTTTGTTGTGTGCATAATGGTGAATAATAAAAGACTATATAATAATTTTATGATTTGTTCCTGTTTTCTGTCTGCAGTGTCTCTGAGTGAGCGTATGGAGGTTCAGTCTCCTCCTAATGTGGGGCTCCGGCGCAGCGGGCAGGTGGAGGGAGTGCGGCAGATGCATCAGAACGCCCCCCGCAGTCAGATGGCCACAGAGCGGGACCTGCAGGCCTGGCGAAGGAGGGTGGTGGTGCCTGAACTCACTCGCAGTGCGTACAGGTGAGACCCTCAGACAGGATGCTCTTCCAGCACCTTATAAAAGTTATTGAAATGAGCATCTCATGCTTTATTTTATTAGAGCACCTCCAGAGCTCTCACGCATCTGTGGTTATTCATAACTAGGGGTGTAACGCTGCACAGAAGTCCCCCAAATGTATAAGGCTGGGTTTCTTTTCATTTGTATTGAACAGACAGTAGTGCAAGTTGCAGTTCGTTCCACATGGTGTTGTATAGCGCCCCCCTGAGGTCCCTGCTACAGCCTGTAGTGTATTAAACAGTAAAATGTCAAAAGTAAACAGACACTCTCACATAGCTCATTTTTATGTATGGCTGATTCAGTGGAAAAAAAGGCAGTAGGTTACAAACGTCTACAAAACCGAAAAGCATCTCTTATGTTATAAAAGTACAAAATAAATAGAACAGTAAAAAATAAAACTTGTGCATTAAGAGGGCTGTTTCCATTTGTGCCCCTTAGGCTACATTTAAAAATTCAGAGCTGAAGCCCAAAACTCTCAAAGAACAGACAGAGAAAAGCACCCTGGCTAGTAGGAGGGACAGCAGCTAGAATTCTGCTGTTTAGCATTTCGCTCTTCACTGCTGTCGTAGTTCTCTGGAAACCCAAAATATTCCCCTACAGCTGATTTGAAAGAAGCAGGCGGGTCTTCCAGCTTGTGTGCCGTTTGCACTCAGTGTAGTGCAGGGGTGTCAAACTCGACCACTAAAAGGGCCGTATTAAAAAATCTGTGAGCCAGCTATGTTTTTTTTATTTCATTTATGCTTGACATTTTGCCACAACCGTAACTGGCCATTGTTTATTCAAAATATGCCAGAACTACATCAGCAAAAAAATAGTCACTGAATACTTAAATGATTAAAAAATAATTTTAAATATAATAAAATTGTTTTATATAAAATGATAGATTATATTAGCTGCAGAAAACTGTCAAACCTCTTTAAACGTCCCCAGTGTACAGTAGGTTTTTAAAACTGTCCGTTTGCTTGAACTGGACACTTGGCATCTTTTTTTGTGGTGCTGTCCCATAGATTGTTGTTGAGAAGGAGGTGGGAGCACACAAAACATTGCAGGGAACATTCTGGGAACTGTAGTGCAGCTCATGTTGAAATGGACTAATGTTAATAGAGAGAATAAATAAATTTTATTAAGCCACGGTCCTGACTTGGTCTGCAAGCCAACGTTTGACACGTGGTTTAGATGCTGATCAGCTTGAGCGAAGCTTAGCATAGCATACTGCTAACTTACTCACAGCTTAGAGGTTTAAGGTTTCCGATTGAAACTTGCACTCGTGAAATTTTGATTCTGTATTATGTTCATCAGTCTTCGCACATAGACTGCTGCGTATTCTCCGTATGGCTGCATGCACTGACTTGTGATGTCCGTACCATGTTGATTCGAGAAGAATACATGTACCATTACACCCCTACTCATAAAAGCATTGTTTTTGTTCTCATTGACAATATGATGATCACACAGACTGTTTTAGTGATTTCAGTTTTTTTTTGACTGTTTTAGTGATGAGGGTTTTGTTAGTTGTGTAATGTACACTTGGCTTAGTCAGAATTGTATCTAACGGTGAAAAATAAACTTCTTTGTTTCAGGTCTCAGGACTCTTACAGGATAGCGAAGGGCGAGGAGGAGATCACACTGTACAACACTAAAAAACGCAGAATAACCCACAGCACCTTTAGGGTAAACGCCTCCTCAAACTGTGTAACACTGAATACACAGATAATACACAGATACTGTAACTGTTTACTTGAACTTGAAGTATTTTATGAAGATGGTAGTTTTATAATAAAGCATTCAATCAATATTCCTTTATTTCTTTGAAGTAATCGTTACTTTAAGGAGAATTCCACCAATTTTCCAAAAATTCTGTAAACAGAGAGATGTAAACAGAGTGATTCAGAGTAGTTTGGAGTGAAATAGTTAAGATTTCTTTACAGTGGTGGTGATAGGAACCAGGGGTCGCCATGACAACAACACAAATAGACATTTTATTTACCATCCAAAACCACCAGTGAACCTGCACAAGTCTTCTGAGTTTATATGGAATGTTGATGATGGGAAAACAATGATACATTCTCAAAACTATCATAACAGTGTCTCAGACATCAGGCAGAGTATTCATGCATAATGTAGTAACTTTCTGTGAGGGAGCTTTTAGAGATGGACATCTGGTTCCTATCGCCAACACTGTGAACAATTCTGACTCGGTAATTTTCTCTAGAACAGAGCATTTCACACCAAACCACTCTGAATGACTCTGTTTACATCTTACCTGTTTAAATATGCAGGAAATTTGAATAATTAGTGGACTTCCACTGTAAGTCTTATTGATGCTACCTGCTGAACTGAGCTGAAAATGTGACTGTAACTAAGAGAGGCGGTACTTTGTCCAAGTTTTGCAAATGGTCAATTAACCGCATGCTACTTATATTTTTGATATTTGGTGTTTTTCCTTAGTCGTACATTAATAAGAATGGCTTTGATTGCATCATTTAATTATGCAGAAGTCTTTGGAAATGGGTGAATTTCCCCTTTAATTTGTGAGCTTTATTTGAATAGTTTTGAATAGCTGCTGTTCCTGCAGGATGACTCTGATGATGAGGGATTGTGCACTAAGCGAACGCCGTCTCGTAAACGCCGCAGACGGCTGGAGAGCAGAGACAGCGTGGAGGAGTTTGTAGAGCACTCCTGTGAGGAGGGAGAGGAGACCGCGTCCTCTGAGGTGCAGCACACCTTTATTTAAACTCACTCTACCTTTATTTACAGGTGTAAATCTGCAAACTCACAAAGATTCAGTTCAGTCACAGTTCTTCTGTCAAAGTGATTCTCAAATTTCACCACAATTTGATTTGGTTCTTCGGATACGATTCAAAATGCACAGAATTGAAGGAACTATAAACAGAGTAAGAGTTTGTTTATAGAGCACATTTCATACAGAAGGTCAGTTTCAGCTGATGTACAGAAGTAAAAGCAAAACAGACACATTAAAAAAATAAGAAGGAAATAAAATAGAAGTTAGATGTGTAAGTAATTAAAGAAGTAGAATATTGCAATATGGACAATAAAAAGCAGACAATACAATATACAATTAAAAAAGTGACAAAAACAAACTAGTTTTTAAAAATATGTTTAGTCTAAATGGTTTAAATGGACTAATCATTTTAAGATGGCTAAAAGAATGTGTGCTTTGTCATTATAATCAGTGATGTTCCTGAAGTATAATTGACTCTAATCTATCACTTAATCGTTTTAAGTGTTTGAGATGTTTGTATTGAACGCTGATTTTGGTGTATGTACACTGTAGAATAATGAGATGGAAGGCAGTGAGATGGATTCTTCGAATGAAGAAGAAGAGGAGGAGGAAGAAGAGGAGTGGAGAAGTGACAGTTCAAGGTAAACACCCAGCACTTTTATTCTACTCTCTCTGGCAGGTTTGAGCCTGGCTGATATGTGTCTGAATGCATATTAAAGGTGCAGTGTGTAAGATTTAGTGACATCTAGTGGTGAGGTTGCAGATTGCAGCCAGCTGAATCCCCTTCGCTCACCATCGTCTGTCCCAATTTTGTTGTGCTTCATGTTTTCTCTTCTTTGACGGTGAGTATTCACCCTCGTTCACTTTTTCTTGTGCTAAATAATATGTCTGATCCTCCATTTGTCGAAATTTGAATTCTCAAACTTCCCACAACATGGTCAGCAGTACCGACAGCAACGATTGATAGACCTTCTTTCAGCATCTTCCAACCGGAGCTACAGCTCCACCAAATACAAGCTGCCACTTCAGTGTAAAAATGCAAAAGGCGCCCTCTAGAGCCGGAGTTTGGTTTGTCTGTTTTGGGAGCCGCTCCCTATGTAGATATGTAGAGCTCATTCTGAGATAATAAAAACCACAGTGATTCATAGTTACAGGTGATTTATGCACTATTGAAAACGTGTTTTTGTTTACTATATTCCATTTCTGCTAATATATCCTCCTAAATCTCACACACTGGTCCTTTAACTTACATAATGAACATATCATCTCTGTCAGGACAAAACCCCGTATACAAAATGGTAACCTTATAGGAGAAAGTATATAGTTCCAGGTATATTTGGAGCGTTTCTGTTGGTTTCTCATTAAATTTTCATGCGATGCAAAGCTTGACATTTTCAAATTCTGTGAAGAACTTTGTGTCTGTAAGTATATATTATAATTTCCGTATTACACCATTAATGTTTGGTCTGTTCCTAATTGAAGCCACTCCTCCAGTGAGTACTCGGACTGGACAGCCGACGCTGGAATCACAGTCAATCCGGGCCTGTCCTCCCGAAGACGTGCTCGCAGACAAATCAGCAGTTCTGATGATGATGAGGATGAGGAAGAGGAGGAGGAAGAGGAAGACAACACAGCCGAGGAGGAGCAAACAGAGCAAACGCAGGATGAAGAAGTGCAGTCGTCTTCACCTCAGAAACAGAAGAAAAAAACGAAAAGCAAAACGCCGAAGGTGAATTGTGTTGAGCCAGTTTTATCACAAATCTCTGTACACATCTCACACATCTGGTTAAATATGAGTTTTAGGGCAGTGATTAACTCAGTGTTCGGGTTAAAGTGTTCATATAGTTTGTGATGTTCAGCACACTGCATTTAAAACAAATACAATTCAGACTAATGTTTATTCACTGCATTTAAAACAAATACAGTTTGGACTGATGTTCATTACACTATTTCACACATTTTCTAAACTGCTTATCCTTCCAGGTGGGGTACACTGTATTAAAAACATTAAGTGGATTGACGTTCATTAAGCTGCGTTTTAAACAAATACAGTTTGGACTAACGTTCATTACACTGCATTTTAAATACAGTTTAGACTGACGTTGATTACGCTGCAATTTTGAAACAGAAGCAGTTTGGACCGACGTTCATTACACTGCGTTTTAAATACAGTTTGGAATGACATTCATTACACTGCGATTTTGAAACGGATGCAGTTTGGACCGATGTTCATTACACTGCGATTTTGAAACAAATGCAGTTTGGAATGACGTTCATTACACTGCGTTTTAAATACAGTTTGGACCGATGTTCTTTACACTGCGATTTTGAAACAGATGCAGTTTGGACCGATGTTCATTACACTGCGATTTTGAAACAAATGCAGTTTGGAATGACGTTCATTACACTGCGTTTTAAATACAGTTTGGAATGATGTTCATTACACTGCGATTTTGAAACGAATCTAGTCTGGACTGACATTTATCACACTGTATTTATACAAATTCAGGCAGAACACACAGCCTGTTTAAAGTATTAAGTGTTGAACTGTTGACCACACTGTAGTATTTAATAAGCAGTAAATGTTTAATACTTTGCTCAGCTGTAGTTTCGATATGCATGGGTAGCTGATCTCCTTTAACTTGGCATTTGCGTCTTCTGATAATCTCAGTCCCCGAAACCGAGGCCATCTATGAACAGAGAGGTGTCCAACGAGTTCCGCCCCTCTGCCTGGATCACTGACGTCGTTCCTCGGAAATCGCCCTTCGTCCCACAGATGGGAGATGAGGTTTGTTTACAGTCATGTCACCCTCCACGTGTTCTGGGTTAACATTCAAGACGTCTTGTCATAGTGTGAGTGTTTTGTGTCCTGTAGGTGATCTACTTCCGTCAGGGTCATGAGGCGTACGTGGAGGCCGTGTGCAGGAGTAATCTGTACCCCATCAACCTCGACAAGCAGCCGTGGAGGAGGATGGAGCTGAGAGTGAGAGTTCCTTCACAGTCAGAATGAGATTATGGAGTGAAACAGCAATTATTGTAGCATCACTGCAATTTTCAACGTAATCTCCTTATCAGCTGTGTCTGTACTGTATGGGGCAGTTACCACAGACAGTAATCGACAAGTTGTTACAGGTCCCGTCTCTTAGTTGCTGCAGCTCAGATCAGCTGGTAACACCTGTAGCATTTGGACAGAGATAGCTCACAGATGAGAAGACCTGAAACATTTTTTAATTAAAAAAAGCTGGTTTTACAAGAAGCTTAGTGCACACTGGAGGTCTGTGTTCCTGCGAGACCCACCATGGTATTTTTACTATGGTGTGCAGGAGCAGAACAGCACATATATTTAGAGAAATCCTGCAAATTGATTAATAGCTTAAAGAATCTGTTTGTAAGATTTTTAGTTTAGAATCAGAATCAAACTTTATTGGCCAGGTTTGCTTACACATACAAGGAATTTGGTTTTGGTTACAAGAGCTCACAGTGCACAGTAACAGACAAACATTTATGTAGTAAATAAAATAAGATAAAAAAAATAAAACATGCATTCCTACCATCACTCACTCATACACATACACACACAGTCATACCTGTAAACCTTACATTGTGCAAAGTATGTATCTTATATTAACCTTTTATCTACTTGGAACCACCAGTGGTTCCAAAATGCACTTCGTCATATTCTTTACTTCATAACTTTCATATTTCTTAAGCTTCATTCAAAAGGTCAGTCCAGTCAAATAGATGGGTAATGTAGTTTTAAAACTTCATGATAAAAGAAGCTGAACTCAATTTTTTTTTTTCTACTGACATTTGACCCATTTTTCCAAAAATCTGAGCTGTACACTGCATCTCAGATGGCGTCTCGTCAGTGATCTGCTCTGTAAAAATGATTTTTGTGCAAAAAATACAAAGAGCATCCAAGATTTTTGGCTTTCAGCAGTAAATTGCAAGCATATAGCATTATGTGTATGATCAAAACACATTTTCTGTTAATTTGAGGGGAACTTTTACAATCAAATTTTCATGCAGTTACTGAACAATTTGCCTTAAAATTTGGGCATGTAAATTCAGATGGAAAAAGCAAAAACAAACATTAACTAAAAAAAAAATTAACTAAAATTAACTAAAATTATCAACAGAATGTGAAGAAACAAGTTTTGCCATTATGTTGAAGATGTCGGAAAACAAAAGCCAGCTCTGGTACCTGGAAAGATCCAGAATTAAACACAATGTGAGTGAAATACAATGCATTTCAATAAGTACTCAGACTAGTGCTCAATTGCTTCACAAAGAGACGGTCTTCAGTCTGTGTTTGAAGATGTTGAGAGACTCTGTTCAGTCATCCAGTGAAAGTTTGTTCTATCACTTTGGTACTGAACAGAGAAGAGTCAAGTCAGTAGTAATTACCCTTTTGCAGCTACTATAATGATGCTGGTGCTTTGTTTATTCATCAGGACCAAGAGTTTGTTAAAATAACTGGGATCAAATACGAGGTGTGCCCTCCGACCCTCTGCTGCTTGAAACTGACGCTGATCGACCCTGGAACAAGCAGAATAACAGACAAGTCCTTCTCTGTGAAGTGAGTGTTTGACATGCTGTCATTCATTTGCACAGACCAGCTAATTTAGAGCCAAGTGTTTTATAATGATTCTGTCTCCTGCAGGTATCATGATATGCCGGATGTCATTGACTTCCTCGTTCTCCGCCAAAGTTACGACGAGGCGCGCTACAGAGTCTGGACACCAAGTACGCCAGCCAGGCTCTTCTTACCCTATTCCTTAACCTCATAAAGTTTGTTCCATCTAGATCAGGGGTGTCAAACTGAACCAATAAAAGGGCCTTATTAAGAAATCTCAACTAATTTGTGGACCAGCTGAGTTATTTTATTTTTACTTAACATTTTGCCGTGACCCCAACTGGCCGTTGTTTATTCAAAATATGCCAAAACTACAACGACAAAAAATAAAAACGATTCAAAAATAATTTTAAATAAAAACAAATTGTTTTAAATAAAACTATAGACTATATTAGCCTAACTATAGACTATATTAAACCTATTTAATTGTCCCCAGTGTTGAGTAGTTTTTTTTTTTTTTTTTTTCCTGTCCCATAGATAATTTTGGGGGAGGAGGAGGGAGCGCACATAACATTGCGGTGCATGGTGGGAACTGTAGTGCAGCTCATGGTGAACTGGGTTAATATTAACAGAAAATTAAAATAATTTTGCGGGTCGAATAGGATTGTGCCGCGGGTCTTGTTTGACACATGGGATCTAGATGGAATGCTTGATTTGGGAATAGGGGTGAGCAATATGGCAACAATCTACTGTCACAAAATACATAAAGTATTAATGTACCACATTTAAAGAAAGGCTACCAAAAACTATGACCTTACAGTGACCTTTCACTCACTGCCCAGCACTGGTTAAAGGGGAATTCCACCAGTTTTACGAAACTCCTTCAGTGGTTGAGATATAAACAGTGATTTGGTGTGAAATGGTTCAGATCTCTTTACAGTGGTTTGGGATAGGAACCAGGGGTCGCCATGACTACAACACTAATATAGACATTTTATTTACTATCCAAAACCTCAAAAAAACTTTGTGAGAGAGCTTTTAGAAGTGGATGTCTGGTTCCTATCACCACCACTGTGAACAATTCTGACTCTGTTTATGTCTTAAACATTAAACATTAATTACCCTTTAAGCAGAGCCAGTTATGCTCTTTTGGACTCTGTTTGAAACTGAAACTGAAACCTGCTCTCTTCTAAACCCCTTTTCAGTGAAATGCAGTTCAGTGTAGTGAATGAATTGATGATACATGATAAGTGTTGTTTAATCCCTCATGGTAATAAGATTTTGTCTTATTGTCCACCTGTATTACCTTCTATTTCCTAATTTTGATTTTTCCTCTGATTGTGTTTTAGATGATCGTTTCCGGTCGGTGATTGATGACGCGTGGTGGTTTGGGACCATAGTCTGTCAGGAGCCATATCAGCCTGAGTACCCCGACAGCCATTTCCAGTGTTTTAAAGTCAAGTAAGATGCAGCGTGCTTTTCGTTCTCCTCTCTGTGGTACTGTTTATGTATTTGGATGAGGTTTGTGACGCGATGCTCTCTCTGCAGGTGGGACAACGGAGAGACAGAGAAGCTCAGCCCTTGGGACATCGAGGCCATTCCAGAAGATGGTAAACACATGTGACTTCTCCTTTTTATAATTTGTTAAAAGATTCTTCCACTGGCTTCTCACACCTTTGACCTGCTTTGTGTCCTTCTAATGTAACAGTTAAGACTAGAGTTTTCACTGCTTTATCCCCAGTAAGCACTGATGTGCTTAACATTTCACAGGGTAAACAGGGGTATTTCTTCCTTTTCTTTTAATGTTTTTGGCTCATTGTTAGTGCAGCTTTAAAGCTGTAACAAATTATTCTGAGTTCTGCTTTGATACTTCAAACTTCATACATTTAAATAACTGATAATTTAGGCTGATATAATTTAATATGACCAAAAATTAAAGAACAGCAAAAAAAGACTTAAATACAAATGTTATTATATGCAGGTAAATGTTGCATCTAGTTATATTTAAATATTAATTTTTAAACATGGTGTTCGGTGGTGCCAGTTTAGCTTGTGTTGCTGTAATAAAGCGAAGCAGCTGCTGATTGAGACCAGTGAGACCATTAAAGTTCTCAGAAATGAGTGCTTTAGAGGAGTGAATTCATCATAATATAAAACTTTAACACCTCACCTGTGCCAGTAAATCTGCTCATCCACTGACTTTATTGGCCAGCCAGTGTGTTGGTCTATTGGTTGAGCTCTCATCAGAATCAGAAGTGTTTGTTACCTGGGCAAATGACAGACATGTTGTAATAATGATGCCAGGCATGTGCTCGACTGTTCATGCAAGTTCCTCAGAGCTCTGTGTTTTTGTGGGTTCTGTAGCCCAGCAGCCGGAGTCGGAGGGTGCAGGAGTGCCGGTCACTATCGAGGAGATGAACGACATCCTGTACAAGCCTCGAGAGGGGGAGTGGGGGGTGAGGAGTCGAGAGGAGGAGAGCGCTCGGATCATAGCAGGAATAGATCAGCTCATCACAGTGGGTGTGTATTAAGGCTCATGTTTCAAATGATTTAACTGTCACAGCCCTCTTCCAGGCATCCTTTACTTTGGTATGTTAGCGATACATCCACTAGAGGGCAGTCCAGAACCAAACTTTTCTGACAACAAACATACATGGTAACAGAAAAGGTTTAAATGTTTATAGATGTTTAATATTTATAACCAAGTCGCACAATCTCTCCTCAAAAAGTCTTTTTAAAGTTTCTTCTTCGTCGTGTCCATAGCCATACGGCTATGGTCGCGTCTCGCTTACTGGCTAAACTGCCCCCACGATTTCCCTGTGGCACTCTTCTGTTTCCGTATCTAAGCTTTCAGAGAACGTGCACAAATACGGATTAAATGAACACTGAAGGCTCTGCCTGTATCTGTATTTAACTTTCAGCCTAAATAAGCCTAGAGCAGTTAACCCTCAGAGTTATTGCTGTTCATTGCGCTGTACTAATTACACATTAAGGCTGCACTGTGTAAGTTTTAGGGATTTGGAGCCCTCTCTGGTGGAAATGTGTAACTGCTCACAGAACATTCTGTAGCGTCAGCAGTGCTTCGGCCTTATTCTCTAAGCAGATGAATAAGACTGAAATAGAATTCAAAGAGAACTCAGTCTAAACTTGGTGAAGAAGCGTCTTCTGAGGATGTGAGTGAAATATCTACTATTCTCATCATATCTTCATCAGTTTAATGTTGATTGAGATCGTTTGAGGCCTAAACATTGAGCCGGACCTTCTTTTTAAGTGTGTGTGTGTGACGTTGATATGTAAAGACGTACGACGTGGTATGAAAAACTCAACGCCTCTGATTTTTAATTGATTATTTCAGGCTTTACAGGGCAACTTGCAGCAGCGCACACCCACCATATCTAGCCTGTTTTTCTTCTCCTCACTCAGTAATGACACTTTTTAGTTTTACCAGCAAACATCTTACATAGTGCATGGAATGTTGTTACATTTACATTAGATTTACTTTCTGTGTTCAGGTTCGAGCCTGCACTTCTGACAAAAACAGCAAAAATGTCTGTTTTCTTTCTGTAAACCAAGACAATAAATCAAAAAGTTTAATAGATTATCTTCTCTTCTACCTAAACACAAAAATTGTCTGAAATGAAAGTTTAGAATCTGCACTTTCCACACAATTTCTGCGCTTATTTCAGTGAACTATGAGTCAAAAATAATTAAAATACAATTACAGCGTGATTTTATTACTGTGACGTTTAGAGGTTAATGTTCTTTTCTTCTAATTTATCTTTTATAATTGTGCAAACGTGTCAAGTGTTGTTTTTCTGTCTGTCTTTAACAGATATCGCTGCCCCCTTCTCTGGCCCGGTGGACCTGACTCAGTATCCTACGTACTGTACTGTAATAGCCTACCCCACTGACCTGGGCACCATCCGCATGAGACTGAAGCACAATTTTTACAGGTATCCGGTTTTCCCTAAGCAAAGCTGTGTGGAGTTGGTTGGGGGTGCTGTGAGCAGTGTTCCTTTTGCTGATATAGTTGGTGATATATGCGTTAACTGCTCAGCAAGCAAGAAATAGCATCTGGTCATCTGGAAATTTCTGGATATTTTGAATGGAAAAACTTTTGTTTTGGCCGACGTGCTATATCTGGTTTTATTTCCAGGAGAGTTTCTGCACTAATTTGGGACATAAGGTATATTTTTCACAACGCGAGGACCTTCAATGAGCCACGGAGCAAGATTGCACAGTCAGCGAAACTCATTACAGATGTTCTCCTAAAGTTTATTAGGTAGGTCCGCTGGTAATATCTGTATCTTTCATGAATAAATTACCTTCTTCCTCTTTATTAACATGTATTTCTTTACTTCACCAGCAAAACACAGTGTATGGACATTATGGAGATCTACAATGCAGTTGAAAATATGGAGTACACAGAGGACGAGGTGAGCCTGTCGATTAGTTCCAGTTTTTCAGATCCAGATTGAGCACAGATTAAACAGGATTTCGGTGTTGCAGGTTTAATTAGTATTAGTGTTACTTTACTTATCTGTATTACGTTAATATGATGGTTGAAGTTGCTTCATTGTTTTCAGGAGCTGGAAGATGTTGATGCACCTGGCACCTCTGCTGGACGAAGATCACACCAGGTCGCACTTCGCATTTCTTAAATAATCTACTTTATATAAAATTAAACAGCTTCTCTGACCAAGTAAATGTAGCATCCCCATTTCTAACTCTGATCTGTAACCTTTATATTAGACCTAAACAGTACTGCTGGTTGTTTTCAGTGGTTTAAGCTGACGTGTCTCCAAAGTCAGTTAGCTAAAGGATGCAATCCAGTGAAATTAATTTATAAATTGTTTGCGTAGCTCCTATTTATGAGAGCTTTGTGGTAAAGCAGCTGTTCAGAAATGCAGATGTAATAAGCTTTGCTGAGGGTGACTGTGGCAGGAAAACCTCCCTGAGATGATTTCAGGAAGTCTAATCTAGAGAGCCATGGCAGATTAGGATAGTCAGTTTTAATAAGGTAGGGCTAATTTGGTCAGCCTGAGGGTGATAAAGGCATGGACCAGTTTTTCTTCTGCATTTCTTTGATATAAGAATATCTTATTCACGAAATATTAGACCAGAATCAATAGAAAAAATTAAAAAGTTCTAGAGGACTTTTGACCAACTAATAGTGCTTTTATTTTGTTCTGTTTAATTTCCTTTTTGTTTTTGTGGCCCTCAAATGGAGCCTTGTGGAACACCATGCTTTACTCTTCCTCAGAGTTCTTTGTTTTTCCTGAACTACACAGTCAGAAATAAAGGTTCTGTGCAGGTACATTTTTCATTCATCAAGGTAAAAATGGTGTAAATGATACCCTCAAATGTACAGTAGTGGTTTTTAAGGTCTCAGTGTGTGTTTTGTAGTTGAATTTCCATCAAAGCTGAGTTATGGGGACATTTTACGGTCTCAGTGTGTGATTTGTAGTTGCCTTTTGGCTGATTGGTTAAGTTACTCGTCTCCCACATAGGAGAGCAGGTTCAGGCCCAGCACAGAGAAGCAGGCTTGTAACAGTTTGTGCTGGTAATATAACGCCGTCTTTAGATCTGTTCTGCCATGTGTAACGATGTGTTTATCGCGGAAACTTGTATCGCTGTAACGCTAAAAATGCGCTTTATTGTGCAGCCCTAGTCTTATTTAGTAAAATGTTAGTCAGTGTTGTCAAATGTAGTCAGGTAGTATAAGCAAAGGAACATAACCTAGCAATAGATTGTTAGAATGTAACTGTGATATGAGACCTAAATCCTAACTATAAGGTTTCATGTTTGGTTCCTGTGCAGTTCATGAGCTTAACTACTGTATTTTCTAAGATCTTGGAGATATAAAGAGGGTTTGACATTAGATTTCGTTTGGATAGATGGCCAGCGTCAGTTTTCCTAATCAAAGAAGTGCAGTATAATAAGTAGACTCTCTGCCAGGGCTGCAAAAGATTGGAAACCTGTGCTGTAAGCCTTCATTGACTTGATGAAGTACAGTATAAATGTTAAATGTTATTCCGCTCCTCTGATCTTTGTTCAGCCTTCAGTAGAAGTGGTGCAAGATAGAGACGCCTGGAAAGACGCATGCAAGCAGCTTCTGGACTACATGTTCGAGTGTGAGGACTCCGAGCCCTTCCGTCAGCCTGTGGACCAGAACGAGTATCCAGTGAGTTTGGTGGCATTTGCAGCTCAGAATTTGTAGAGAAAAGCATAAAAGCGAGAAAAACATTTCATCTGCAAAGTATAGTACACATTTCAATCAGTTGATAAGGGCTGATTTGGTTGCTTATAAGAGCTTCAAGAAACTTTGAATAGAAGAAATTGTTTGCTTAGATGCTGTAAAACATTAAAGTCACTGGGTGAAACATACTTTCCTAGCAAAGAATAAATCGCAGACAAAGTTAAGGAAATGTGGCAATCGTACGATCTGGATTCAGTAAACAGCTCATTGATGAGGAATTAAATATAATTTCTACGTTCAGCTTAAAAAAAGCTGATAAACTCCAGTGTTCCACTGGAGCAGAAAGCAGTACTATTCAAATATTACTAAAACCTTCTAAAGAAGTTGCTTTAGTGACGTTTGATCACAGTTAGAACACCAGTGATGTTGTAAAGACAGTGTCTCATGCGTGTATCTGTTCCAGGACTATTCGAATATCATAGATACTCCCATGGATCTGGAAACCGTCCGGAGAACCCTTGAAGAAGACCACTATGAAAACCCCACAGACTTATGCAAAGACACCAGGCTCATTTTTGCTAACGCTAAAGCCTACACGCCAAACAAACGCTCCAAGGTTAGTGACCGACTTTCCATCCCGGACATTATCATTAAGACCTGTTTTGCCTCTTACAACATTTTTAGTTGTTAAATTTTTAAAATGGGTTTTTGCCCCAGATTAGTAGGGTTATTATGAAATTTGACTCTGAATACTATCTCAGTGCTTGATACCAAATGACACTAAGGCCCAGTCCCATTTCACCCCTCGCCCCTACCACTTGGCCCTTAGCCCTCTGTTTTGCGCGTTCATGTCTAGGGGTAGGGTGTCCCAATTTTTGTTGAGGTAGAGGGATGGGGTGAAGTGTTAGGACTACATAACCCTCCAAACGGAGGTTTTTCAGAGACTCCAAACAGAGTGATATGAGAAAAAAAGAAAAACCGGCAAGATGGCTGAACAAGAGCCCAAAGAAACCCATGTAAACAAATGTATTTTCTCAGTTAAAAAAATTACGGTTTACCACTGTATTAGTTTATTGTCGTTTCAGTGTATTATGGTTCGTTTTCTTCATAACACGCATAAAAAATTGCTAAAAGCATGCTAATGTCTCGGTAGCTAGCTAGCTAATTTTCCCGTTCCACCTTAAATAGTCCAGCAGTTCTGACACCTGAAGCACCAGAATGTAACTGCTGCTCCATTTAAGGTGGAACGGGAAAATTCGAACAAGAAGCTGGCTAATACTGATATCTGACTTCAGCTTCACATCACTGAAGAATTAGGGGTGGGTGATAATAAATAATTGCCCCCCTCTTTGAAGGAATATAGTGCCCTAAATGTGACTAAAGCCCAGCAGTGAGGAGCTGAACTTTACCCTCCTCTGCTATCACTGCAGACGGGCCGGGTCACCTACAGAGCAGCGCTAGTAGCTGTTACTGAAGCAATATATATGTTATATGTTTTAATTTGAGGGTCCCATTTTGTAGGGCAAGATTTCAACCACTATCCCTTTTAACTCAGTTCAAAGTGGTTAGGGTGACGCTTGAAAACAAGGGGTAGGGGTAAAAAGAAGAAATGGGATTGGGCCTAAAAAAAAAAAAATTGGAGTATTTCATTTTTTTAACTTGTGGAAGTGTTGAACTTTTGATTATTTGTGCAATTGTCTTCATAAGTCAGTATTGACCCATTTTTAAATGTTCAACACTGTAAAGCTGGGGTAACTTGAAATCCTGAACTTGTAATATTAAGCTACAGAAAAATAATTAGTGCTTTACGTTTTGAACTTAACATTTCAAGTGTACTTTTTTTTGTTTAATAAAGTTTTTGAGCTGGATCTGAGCTCAGCAGGGTGGTAATGTCTAGGATGAGAATTTGGCACCTCTGATCTGAGTATTCTGACCTTTTTTTGATTTTAGACATGATGATGTGATTGATGACTCACTAAAATGCACTTTTAATGCATGATTTGCAGATTTACAGTATGACTCTGCGACTGTCTGCGTTATTTGAAGAGCGCATTCGAAAGATCATATCTGACTACAGGACTGCAGTGAAGAGCAGCTTGAGGCTGCGCCGCAGTCAGAGGTTCAGAAAGAGGCTCCAGCAGCAGGAACCCACTGTTCCTGTCACCAGGCTGGAATCCACCAGGTGGGCTTCTTCTCACAGCTTACAGACATCACAACCTCATTATATACACTCCATCTAAATATGTTTAGGCTTATTGATTTTATTGAAAAGTGTGGGTAACAGAGCAGTGCTGTGAGCTTTCTCCCGTTGTGTGTCCTGTCAGTCAGAAGAGAGCTGCTGTTAAAACTCAGGAACAAGTGGCTCCGCCTACAATCAAATCTACCTCAGCCAAAGTGTCTGCACCGGAGCGCAGCCGGAGGAAGAGGAAGAGGCGCAGATCCACCTACACATCAGCAGATGATTACTCTGAGGGCTCCAATAAGAGCGCATCGTCTACATCAGGTGTGTGTGTGTTCAGTTTTTGACATAATTTGAAAATACCTGTTGGTCTTTATATTGTGTGTAAATTGCATGATAAATGGACCATAGGAAACAGGCTAAAATGACTTGGAAAAAATTCCATTGACTTACATTAGAAGTAAAGTAAATTTTTTCCTTTTCCTGTAAAGTTACCATTTTGGAGATACAAGGTTTTCTTCCGACGCACAATATATTTATGGCCCTGAATAGTCACCTACTTGATGATTTGATCTAAGGAGTCTTGTTTGACTGCCAATCTCTTTGGAATCGTTGCAAAATATAGTTATGAAACAAGGATCGTTCCATTCCTGCTGTATGGGGGTGCTGAATGTCTGATTTTACATTGGATTGCTTGGTTTTTTCCTTTAAATCAGAGCTGCGCATTCACACAGAGTTGGCCCACCCATGAGATTTGCAAGAGACCCTGGAGAATGTGCTAGAGACATGTCACAGCTTTGCAGTGCACAGATACAGCCAGTCCTGCAGTTATGCTGCCTGTTTGCATTGAACAGACATCATTCTGCACCTCATAGCAGTACGCAACTGACGGCGGTGTGAAGCCGAGCAAATGTTGGCGTGGTGGTGACTTTAGACTAATCCTTTTGCTCTGAGTGACTCTATACCTTAATTATGTATATTTTATTAAAATTAATGATCAATTATTCATTTTGTCACTACCAAAACAGTCGTATCACTACCTAAACTTTACCAAATGTTTCAGTAGTGACTTTCAGTGACAATTTTATCTCATTTTGAGCTCAAAAACTCAGCCAGTACATGACCAGCAAACACAGTTTTGAACAGCGGTTCACACAGAAAATCATCATATTTTTCATTAAAGCACTAAAAAGTGCTAAACTGCAGAAAATCTGATGATTCTTAATGTTTCACACTGATTTTCAGACTTTGGGACACATTTACTTCAAAACAATGGGATCTAACTGCTCACCATGTGGCCATGAGGCACAGGGGCATGGCGGCTGCTGCTGCTGCATAAACTAAACTAATCAAATTAATCATTTGCTCCGCCTGTTTACCCTGTTTTTGTACTAACAATGTTTACTATCCGGTGTTGACCAGAAGAGGATGGGTTCCTTTTCTGAGTCTTGGTTCCTCTCAAGGTTTTTCCTGTTTCTCTTAGGGAGTTTTTCCTTGCCACTGTCACCACTGGCGACGCTCATGGGGGCTTGGACCCGGATTTCTTTCTGTAATGCTGATTTCTTTGTAAAGCTGCTTTGTGACAACACCTGTTGTAAAAAGCGCTATATAAATAAACTTTGCTTGCTTGCTTGCTAAAATAAGACTCTGCCTACAGACTAAAACTGTGTTTCAGTGGTGATATAACACAGGACAGCATTTTTATGAATAGACTTAAAAATTAAACTCAGAAATCTGAAAGGTCTTAAGAGATATTGGAGAAAAACCTAAAGAATGTAAGTATTATTTTTAGAAGAGTAGATTTAGGTTTACACTTCTGAAAATAATGCGTACATTTACAGTACGTACATTTGCATAGGTTTGGGACAGACACCTCCCAATAGAAAAAAACCTCTAAAGGATAATTTTGTATATATTTAGCTTATAATATCTGTCTTGTGTTTAAAATTTTCTTTTCTTTATTTCACTCTCCTTTATAAGGACAGTTAAAGGGGTCTGCTTATACCTTCTTAAACTGTAATTCTGAATGTGTTGGTTTCTCCCTGCTGTAGACTCTGATAGTGAAGCGTCTGTCAGTGAGCTGGATGACAATAAAAGCCCTTCATCATCTCGTCAGTTCAGACGGGAGACAAGAGCGACGAGGAGAGCCATGCAGAGCAGGGAGTCTAAGAGGAAGCAGGGTGAGAGCTGCTGCACGCTCTGATCACCGATCTGTCTGTGTCTGTATCTTTGTCTTTATTCCTGTTCTGCTGTTTGTTTGCAGTCACTGAGAGCAGGAGTGAGGAGGAGGATGATGGTGAAGATTCTGATAAATCCAGCTCATTAGAGCGACTTCAGTCGAGCAGGAGCAAGAACAGGACCACGCGACTAACCAGGAACTCTGCTGCTGACCGCAGGAAGACGGGTATGTATAAAAAAAAAAGCACAATCGCTTCAGAGTGGACAGAGCTGCACGGTATATAATTTTTTAAATTGTAATATTGGCTTTTGCAGTACTCTTTTTGCAGAAGATTGCAGTATGCAAATGAGTCTGATTACCAAGATTTATATTTTTGCCCAATCACAGCTTGACCGTTTCTGAGGGAGTTTTCCATGTAATCCAACAAAAACAAATTATTCTGGTAGAAATAATGCAGGGAAGTCATGTTAATGAGTTTTAATATACTGTAAGGCAAATCAGAGTATTTAACAGTGTCATTGCAGTATAACAGTATTTATTGTTAGCGCTGTAGTCTTTTTTGATCATATCTTTTAGTTGCTATCAGAAGAAAATCTTGCCTCTACAAAATAGTAACTTTACAGAAGAAGGAGAAACATTGACTTTTAATGAAAGGTAAAAAGATCTTATTCCAAGTAATTTTGGACCTTTTCTGTTTGTCCGTTCATTATGAATTGTTTACACAATGTAAAGGATAAAAGGAGTTTTCAAATTATGCAAAAAAAAAGTACAAAACAAAAAAATTGTGACAGTGACTAAATATATATGTGTGTATGTGAGAGTGTAATGTAATCCTGAAGCTTTCTAACCCTGTGTGTGTGTGTCTCAGAGAGCGGTGCTGAGGTAAATGGTCTGAGCAGATCGTCTCGTGTGGAGCGCAGGAGAGCGCGGCGCAGTAGTGGTTCTGATGAACCTTCAGACAGAGAAGAGAACTCGCCGGCCCGGAGGCCGAGAAGAACTGCAGTGGCTGCGGTCAGTAAAATGAAGCTGATGGATGCCTCAGAGGAAGATGACGGTTCTGAGCAGGAGGGCCGTGTGAGGAGTGGCGGCCGGCAGCCCCCTCGCACCAGCAAACGTGCCACGGTCATCCAGAGCAGCTCAGAGTCTGAGGAGCACGACCAAAAAGGTACCAAGATCTGCCGAGGATCCTGTGGTGTCCATTTTAGACCTGCCTTGTGGCTACAGTCATTGACGTTTTTATCAGAAACATCGATACCACACACTTCCACACAGGAGCGTTTCAGAGATGTAAAGTTACTAGCTGTTTATCAGCCCCGTCTACGTCGTCTGATAATGACGAGACCTCCACAGGACCACCAATGGCCATTTTGGGTGGTGGTACATTCAGAGCACAGCAGTCTGAGACAGTGCTGCACCTGTGTAGCTGGTGTTTCTGATAAAATGGCCAAAGTGTCAGTATTGTACATGCCAATTTTGGTCGAATTCTTGTCCTGTGATTCTGTTACTCGTTTAAGAGTCTTTTAAAAATGTGACTTCCGTGTTCTGCAGAGTCGAATAACAGTGAAGATTCAGCCAGTGAGGAGGAGAAGAGCGAGGAGGCCAGCGCGGACAGTGACTTCTCTCCTTCACAGCAGAATGGCGAGAGTAAAAGAGCCAGCCGGCGATCATCTAGGAGGGCTGTCCTGGAAGAAGGTGAAGAAAATCTGAAACAGAATTAATAGTCAAGTCAAAGTCAAAGTGAATTTAGTCATTCAGACTATGCAAAAAGCAGCACACAGCTGAACGAGATTGTTTCTCCAACCCCGATGTGCAAAAATATACTCCACATAGACATACTAGACAGTATAGACAGACATAAAACATACAAATAGAGAGAAAATGAACAGTCAAATGAGAAATAACATTCCGTTCTGGTTTTGACAGACATCACTTTTTCCAGGTTTTTAAATCTTTTTTCTTTAAATATGTTAAAGCAGTTTAGGCCATTGACCCCAGTACATTAACTAAATAACTAAGTGTGTCTAAAATTCAAAGTAGATTTTTTTATTTTGTTGCTTCAACAGTTGCATTTTTAAGTATCAGGTATCGACTGTAGGGATGCGCCACTAAAATTTGCATATGATAACCAACAGTTAAAACTTTGAAGCTAGTTTGGCTGGTTTGGAGATGCACCAATAACCGTTAATTTATTTAGTTTCATTTTACATAGTTGTATCCATAGAACGGTTACAGTAAACTTTTATTTCATGCAAATATTTGAAATATTTACATAAAATGGCCCTTTTAGTGATAACAACTTATAATGGTAGGTGAATCTTCTCTGTGCTAAAAAGACCACTTATGGCTACACTGGACCTCATTAGGGTTAAACTTCTAACTGTACAGCTGTGTCAGATATTGTACCATTAGTCATGTATTTAGACTTCTTTGTTCATCTTTTGCATGTTATACAAAAATTTGCAGATGACCAACAAGCTCAAAAGCTCAAAGGATGAGTAAATATAATATATTGTAATCGACGGGCTGTAATTCCAATTATTACCTTTATTTATCCAGGACAGGAGCTCTCTGAGATTCTCTTTTTTCAGGAGAGTCCTGGCCAAGATAGGCAGCAACACACAACCCAGTGTTCCCATAAAACAACATAAACATTACACACATAAAACAGAATCAATCAGCAAACCTTAATTAATCATTTAAAACACTGACAAGCAGGCTGACCTACTTGCACAAATTCCACTCAGATGGTGCAGCATGACTAAAAGCTTGTTCTCCTAATTCATTGTGTACAGTGGGAATCTTAAATTACATATTTTAAGGGTGTAGATTATAATTCCCGGTTCCTTTTTGATGCATAAAATAACACAGGTAAGAAGGTAATAAACAAAGAATAGATTTATTAATTTAAGTATGTCAATAATAAAACGGTCCACATTTAGTAGTAAATAAAACACAGGCTGTTCTGATGTTTGCAGATGTGTAACATTTTCATGTTTCAGATGTTATAAAACTATGGTTTTGTATTTCTGTTGCAGATGATTCTCCTCAAGTCAACGGGCACAGCAAACACCTCGACCGAGAGGAGAGTGAAGAAAACGATGGAGGAGAAAGTCCAAATGAAAGCGCACATGAGGAGGAGGAGGAAGAGGAGGAGGAGGATTCCATCAGCAGAAGGAAGGTGGTCAGGAAGACCACAAGAGCTGCGGTCAGTAAAATAAAACAACTTGACGACAGCGAAGTGGAAGAAGAAGCGAATCGCTCCAGAACCAGACGACAGAGGAATCCTCCATGTGAGCAGGAGACCTCCAAAAGCTCCGATGAGGAGGCTCCAAAGGCTGAGAAGCACCCTCATCAGAATGGACGGAAGGTGAACAAACAGGACCTTAAATACTCAGAGAAAACGAGTAAAACAACTTTAAAAAGCCACGAACCAGCATCTGCCTCAAAAGCACGCGCAATCCCCGCAGCCACAGCAGCATTAAAGTCAGGTGCTCACAAATCAGGAGAACTGAGCAGAGTCTCAAAACGCTCTGGTGCTTCAAGAAGAAAAATCAAGTCAGAAGATGAAGATGATGTGAACAGAGAGAATGGGAGCAGCAGTGGAGATGAGGCAATCGCGAAAAAAAACAAATTAAAGACAAAGTCTGAGGGTTTGGATGGCAGGTCCAATTCTTCTGACTCTGAAAGTGAGGAGGTCCCGAACTGGAGAAGCAAGAAGAAAAAGAAGAAGAATGAGGCTGCTTCTTCCGAAGAATGGCAGCAGAGTGAGGAATCAGAGCTGGAGGAGAAACCCAGGAGGAGACCTACCCTGAGAGCCCTCCCCAAGAAGAAGTACATCGTGGACTCTGAAGATGATGATGATCAACCAGTGAATGGGAAGAGCAGTGCTGGCTCCGTTAAAGAGCCCTCAGGAGGCTCCAAGAGGAAACGTGTCAGGAGTTTGGATTCTGAAGATGAAGGAGAAGATAAAGGCGGGACCAGTGATGATGAAAGCGAGAGTGAGAAACGTTCTGGAAAAAGCCGAAAGTCCTCCAAGCACTTCAAACCAGGTTCGGAGTCCGAAAGTGATTCTTTATGTAGAAGGAAAGCGCAGAACGGTCCTTTGCGCAGGCAGCACCGTCCGTCGGACGAGGAGCTCTCAGGCAGACGAGGAAAGCGGAGAAATCTGAAACGGAAGCGCGACAAAAGCTACAGCAGCAGCAGCAACAGCGACGGCGGGATGAGCTCGGACAGCCAGGAGTCGAGCGAGGAGTCCAGCTCAGGGTCACAGAGCAATTCAAAGAGACACGCCACGACGAGGCTGAGGAACCGCAAACGAGGCGCTGGACGTCACAGTTCAGACAGCGACACCTCCTACGGGAATGCCAGGAAAATTCGGACCAGAAATTTAGGCAAACGGACCGTGTGTTACCGAGACAGCGAATGAAGACTGCGGAAAACATCTCAGCAAGTGAAAACGTCGTCAATGAATTTGATATATTTAATATTTCTCTTTGTGAGAGAGCTGTAAGAATATCATAGGGTTATTTAGCCAGAAGCGTTGTATCACACTCTTAAAAAAGAAAATGGTTCTTTATAGAACCATGGACACTCAAAGAACCCTTTGCATTATAAAAAGGTTCTTTGCATGGTGAAATGGTTCTTCAGAGTGCTGTAGATGGTTTTATATAGAACCTTTTTGGCAAGGGTTCTATATAGCACCAAAAAGTGTTCTGCTATTGCTTCTACGTCAAGCTGTAACAGTAGAAGACCCCTATCTGGAACCCTTTGTAGAAACATCTACAGCACATTCTCCATCTATCTGAAAAACCTTTTGTGATGCAAAGAACCCTTTACTCATACAAAGAGTTCTTTGTGTCTTCATGGTTCTATAAAGAACCGTTTTCTTTACAAAAGAACCTTTGAAGAACCATCTTTTTGAAGTGTGTAGTTTTAAGTCAATTTATTTTGAGAAAGTATCTAAAGTTATGATGCGGTCGTCACCTTCTGGTTAGCACAACAATCGCTCCTTCTTCTCCATTCAGGCGTTCTCTCTTTACGAGAGAACTTTGGGTTCTCAGATGGGCTCCTTCCTTCACAGGTGCTTTGCTGATTTAAGCCCCGCAAACACCTCAGAAGGGTATGACTGCAGAACCAGCATCCTGTGGTCCCTTACATAAAACATCTGTAGTGGAAAATGGGTTAAAATCCATAATTGTAGCTGAATTTTAGGCACAAAGCAAAATTAATTTACAGCTTTAAATTTATACCTTAAGCATTTAACTTACGTACTTAATATTTTATGTTTCTTCAGTGAAATTGTCTTATTGTGTTGGCAGTTTGCTTGCGTTGAGCATTAAATGATGGGCGGTATGTTGTGGAAAACTGTTATCTTCTACTCTTAACACTTATACCTGATAAAATGATTTAAAACAAGTAAAAATGTGTAGAAATAGGTTATACAATCCTACAATATTCTTGCATCAGTCTCAGAAGGAGAAATATTAGATTCATCAAATACATTTCTGATTTCACTCGCGGAGTTGTGGTCTTTTTGAGGTGAAGGACCGATTGGACTGTCTGGGAGATGAACTGAAGACCTTGAAGACGACTTGATTGTCCCAGATATAAAGAAGAGTAGCAGCACTGGATTCTCCTCTACATACTGTGAATCAGTTTCAGGGATATTTATACTTTCTGTTGGGAAAAAAAAAAAACAAGATTTCTGTATAGATGCTACTGGTTTGGCTGCTCAAACCAGCCCCGTTGTGTTTGTTTTCTGTAATTTGGCCAACAGGAATGACTTATTTAGTGGAGCATTGTCTGCTTGGGTGCTATCTTTAATATACCTCCTGCTTAAATTGAGCATATTTTGCTGGCTTGCACTAAAACGGCACACTGTACTGAGGTATTTCTACACTAGATCTGCATTAGAAACTCAGGGGTCAACTACGTTTACCATTTTCACAGACTTATTTTTCCTTGTTTGTTTGTTTGCTGAGGTCGAGGATGAGGGTTGTGCGTAACTGTGATGAGCGTTCTTCCTTGATTATTGACACTCCTTGAAAAAGCCACATGAATTGCATTCTGTTCTTGTTTAAGGGATTTTTTGAGCCGATGACGTTCAACGTTTCCTATTTTTTTCTATTTGAGTTAGGCTGTACATACAAAATATGAATTCTTTTTCTTTCCAGAGTTTTCTGAGAATCACTTTGTAGCAAAAGCTTTGCATATTTAAATTTGTCGAGTATTATTTTGTATGAAACTGAAAGCGTTGTCTTGCCATATTGTATGAATTGGTACATATTTGCTAAGTACGGGGAATCAAATCAGTACTTGCTGCAAAAATAGTGTGATTTCTCATATTGGGAAGACGTTTTAGTGATCTGTTTATGTACTTTTCAGTATTAATTCATTTTCCCACTTTAACTTATGAACGGTGAGTGACTTTTGTACCCGTCTGATTGACTTCAGTAGTGTTGGAGCTGATGAAAGCTGTCCTGACATTTTTTCTTAATGTCTTTCTTTTGCATAAAGCGACTCTTTAATGCCAGTTTCTCTGATGTGGAGTCTGACGGATGCTGAAGTGAGAGCTGGTTGAGTTTATGATGAATAAAATAGCCTGCAGTTTAACGGCAGAACTGATTGGAAGCCTGTTTTTCATGAAGTTTGAGTACAAGAGGCTTTATTGTCATTTCAGCTGCATACAAGTACACAGTGAAATGAAACATTCCTCCAGGACCAACACAGGAACACAACTATACAATATACACAGTGCAATAAATACGAAAGACTTACAATGAATACAGAACAGAACCCAGGCAGTAGACGGTACTGAGGGTATGTAGAGAAATTAGTCTTGATGTGTTCATCACAGTGTTGTAAGCTGACAGTAACCTTTAGTCTGTGTTCGGATTCACACATGACGTGTCACTCTTACAACGAGGACACTTTACAGCACTGTGATATTAATGTATGACTCTGGAAAACCTCCAAATATCTGTACAAGTTGCATGCAGTCTATTGATCGTTTGCAAAATTCAGAGAAAGTCACGTCTCCTTTAGTCGCTGTCACTGCTGTTACTGTCACATTTTTAGCTCAGCCTGTAGCATCAATAAAACTTCCAGGGGAAGTCCACCAATTGTCCAAATTACCTGTAATTAGACAGTTAAGATATAAACAGGGTCGTTAGGGGGAGGGGGTTTGGTGTGAAATGCTCCGTTCTAGAGAAACTAGTCAGAACTGTTCACAGTGGTGGTGATAGGAACCAGACATTCACCTCTAAAAGCTCCCTCACAGAAAGTTACTACATGAAATGATTATGAATTCACTGCCTGATCAATGAGACACTTTTATGATAGTTTTGAGAGGATTTTAGCCTTAAACTCCATTCATGGTGGAGAGATACATAATATGCAGGGCGCTGAGAGGCAAAATAGTCCCCAAAGAAAACTTATTATTCTAGATTTTCCACTATTTTCCATCATCAACATTCCATATAAACTCAGAAGATACGTGTAGGTTCACTGGTGGTTTTTGGATAGTAAATGGCTATATTTGTGTTGTAGTCATGGTGACCCCTGGTTCCTATCACCACCACTGTAAAGACATCTGAACCATTTCACACCAAATCAGTGGAGTTCCCCTTTAACGGGCTACAACGTTCAGTAGTGCAGAGGAACGTTTAGGAGCTCACAGCTGAACATCTGAAACATTTTGTTGTCCAAAACTGGCTTTACTTGATATTCACTGTAGATATACTGTTGTATGCAAAAGTTTGTGCACCTCTGGGAAAAAGTATATTTGTTTTCATTTCACATTCAGTAAAACCATTCGGCCTGTGCAAAAGTTACAGCACATTTTATATTTTGCTTCAATATATTAAACTCCGCAAATAATCAGAAATGATGCACTACATCCTTCCACTAAGAAAATCAACACATGTAACCAGGGGTGTTCAAACTTTTGCATACATGTTAGAGAACTGACAAAACATTGTATGAATTATGTTGATTTTATTAAAACTAGTGATTGATCATTCCATTTTGTCACTACCAAAACAATCTCTACCCAAACTTTACCAAATGTTTCAGTAGTGACTCTCACAAAATCATCATAATTTACATTAAAACCCCAAATTTGACAATTATTAATGTTCCACACACACATTTACTTCAAAACAATGGGATCTAACTGCTCATCATGTGGGCGTGAGGGATAGGGTGTGGCTAATGTAAGGCTCCGCCTATAGACTAAAACTCTGTGTTTTGGTAGTGAAGTATTATTTTTCTGAAGTGTAAATGTAGGGGTTGGTGTTTGGGACACACACCTCCCAATAGAAAGTACCCTCTAAATGATGATTCTCTACACATATGGCCTATTAACAATCTCTATAAATGCATTGGGTTCACAGTAATCAGAACATTGTTTTAAGTCCAGCATCCATCACGTTAGATCAGTGCAGCACAGGGCAGCATGAAGTCAAACGCAACTATTTACTAACAGTGTAGTTCTAACGTTACGAACACAGTAGACCTAACTGTAGACCACAGTTCAGCACTTCACACAGACTCAGAGTATTATTTTCTGTCAGAAAATAAAAGCTTAGTAACTGAAGGAAAACTACTGCATGCTGTGGGCTTGTTATCGTTGCCGTGGCTGCTCTGCCCTCTCTGAAATGTCCACACAGTCCAGATCAGACAGAGAGCTTCATAGCTTTTTACCCCAACTGAATTATGGAGTTAGGGTTTTTTTTCCAAATCTGATTTTGTTTAATGATTGTAAAGTTGTTTATCCTCCCTACTAAAAAATAAATAAAACCATTAAAATGTTCTGTTGGTTCCTGCTGATACAAAGCCCCTAATTGACATTGCGTTCCCTCGCAAGATAGATAGATAGATAGAACTTTATTGATCCCAGAGAGAAATTGTAGTGTTTCAGTACCAAGACATATAATTGCACATACTTACATATACTATGCAGAAAAATAGAAATAAATCTAGACATAAGTTAAAGTACAAGAGAAATAAATAAAAGTCTATCTATTTATTTACATATTTACATGGCATATGAGACAGATTTGTTGTATTTACAAGACAGCAGGCACTGAGCGGTATGAGGTAAACTGAAAGCACATATTATAGACATAACTAACTGAGTTGCATCAATATTACAGTGTAAAGTGCATAGTGAAAGTGTCATTACAGTAATTGTGGTGATATATTGCACAGTGTGTATTAATCAGAGAGGAGTTTTCCACATAACATTCAGCTCAGATTGAAGATGGCTGAAGAATTCCACACAGCTGCTCTGCACACAGTTTCAGCACTCTGGGTTCAATGCCATCAGGTCACGCTGCTTTTAATCTTCACCTGATTAGCAGTGAATGTAACAACACTGCACATTCCAGTTGTGGGGGGAGGGTGAGAGGTGTCCATTGCAGACAGTGGTTGCTGATGATCACAGGTGTGAGTGGCTGTGGTGGAGGAAGGTGAGGCTGTGGATGGCCCATGGTGTAGTTGTGTAGGTGCGTTAATCTGTGTAGGAGACAGACACAATGGAGCAGGAGAGGAGCTGTTGTCAAACCGCACAAAGAACTGGTTTAACTCATTTGCCCATTAGGGCTGCGTTGGTTGAAGCCAGTGATGTCTTGTAGGCCTCTCCAGACATCACAAGTGTTATTCAGCTCAAGTTTGTTTTCCAGCTTGGACTTGTACTCCTTTTCGGCCTTCTCAATTGAGGTTTTAAGCTCTTTTTGTACCCTCTTCAGTTCCTCCTTTCTCCTGCCATAAATGCTCTTTTCTTCTGGTTCAGCAGAGACTTCTCTGAGTCACTGGTGACCCAGGGTTTGTTGTTTGGAAAGCATCGGACAGTCCTGGAGGGTACAACAGAGTCCACACAGAAGTTGATGTAGTCAGTGATGCATGATGTTATTGCATCAATGTTCTCACCACATGGTTCACACAGGACATCCCATTGTGTAGCCTCCAGACAGCCCCTCAGTGATTCTACAGCCTCAGGTGACCACTTCCTCACTGTCCTTGTGCTCATTGCCTGTCTCTGAACCAGAGGTTTATACCACAAGTTGAAGTGAACCAGGTTATGGTCTGAACGACCCAGTGGAGGGAGAGCTGTGGATTTATATGCGCGTCAAACAGCAAGCAAACGTAGGACCAGAGGTGCCCAACAACATTACCTACATTAGAGCTTTGTTTTTAGCATAACTAACATTAAAAGCTGTTTTCCCAGTTTCACCATTCGATGCTGAGAATTGTTCTCTGCAGGTCTCTATAAATGTAGCTTTTATTGTACGAGGACACTCGATCTCAGGTTCAGTTTGAGTCACTAACAGCAGAATCATGCTGATTTTGAGAAGCGACACTATGCTTTTATATTTCAATCCAAGATCAATGTAAAATTCAATGAGCTGCTCCACCTCTGAGCTTAAGCAAAGGACTGCTTTTGCAAGGGAACGCATATTTTTTTGCGAGGGAACACAAAACATTTGGAAGGGAACGCAATGTCATGAACCTTTTAAACCATGTCCAGTAGCCTCTAATTTATTCTGTCCCTGATTGTAAGAGGACTGTTGGCCAACTGATGGCAAAGCTGGTGGTCCACTGGTGTTTTGCTTAGCATTTTCCGGGTGGCTCACTGGTGGCTAAGCAGAGTATTAGAAAAAAATTAGACAAAATTCCACTTATTTTCCACTCACAGTCCAATTTACTCATTTTTCCTTCCTTCCTTTCTTTAGTTATACTTTGTAAAGTAGTTTAGTAAATAATTTTAATCCATCTCAGTGTCAGCAACATTTTCTATAGAATCGTTTTGTACCAGCCTTTTTTCTCTTTGTAATATTAGTTCATTTTCTAAAATAAAAGTCTCTGTGCATTTAAAATCTGTTAGGATTTTTAGTCTGCTAGGAGACTAAAAACTAGTTAGAGCTTGTATGCAGGACAGTAACCTGGGTGGACCAGCAGTGGCAAACAGTCAGCAGGGGCCACCTTATCGTGGCAGTAGACCGATATATACTTACTATCAGAGGTGATTCCTGATGGGTAGATGTCACAGTGTAAAGGACTCTAATTGTCTAACAGGTGTTCTGATTCTAGATGCATGTGATGGTTTCTTAATGTGATCTAAAGGTGTCCTACAGGCGAATATTGGACTCTAATGGCAACCATTAAGCTAATTCCCAATAGAAACTAAACCATCAGGTTTTAATCCAAATAGTTCTAATGGTCTTTTTTTCAGCAGGGGTGTTTTGGAGGCTGGTATACTGGTCAACTAGCATGACTAACCAAACCAGAACCAGACCAGCTTAGACCAGCATGAAGTGCTTGCTGGTCTGTGCTGTTTTTTTTTCAGCAGGGTGTGCACATTAACACTGTGATGTGGGCGTTTTCAGAAGGTTTGCATCCACACGAAAACACTGAAAACTGAGTTTTAAACATCACCTCGGTTCTCTAAATCCCATTCTCAGTGTTCGTGTGGACAAAAGAAAAAACTGTTCTCATAAGTATCCATGTACATACGGACGGGCCTCAGCCTCACAAGGATAAACTAGTGTAAATAAATACCCTGATCTGCTCTGTTAGCTCCTGAATCCTCTCTAATCTTTCAAATATTAATCTGCTTTAGTCAGAGAGGCGTGGCTTGAGATTGTATTTACTGCTTAGCCCAAGCTGCATGTCCACATCCTGCTGAATATTGATTAGCTCACAGATTTCTTAACTGTATTTTCTCAGCACACTTACATTACTGACCTCTTTATCTACATTGCCAGCATCAATTAGTGAAAGAACATTATACAGTGTTATGCAACATTGTGCAAGTTTAAATGTTTTTCTGCACAAGCCAGCATTTGCACAGGCCACATTTCGTTTTTTTTTTTTCAATTTTCTCCCCAGTTTTTAGTCGTATCCAGTTCCACCCACTAGTTAGGACTCCACCAATCACACAATACCTCCAGCACTAGGAGTGTGAAGGCCAACACAGGCTTCCTCCAAGTCCTGTTGAAGCTCCACCACATCTTTTCAAACTGCCGCTCACATAACGTCACTGGACAGCTGAATGCACTCGGAGGAGACGCCGACCAACAGATCTGTTACATCAGCTAACAGGTTTTAGCATCAGGCTGAGTGATGGGGAGCCATCCTGCCCACCCAGAGAGAGCGAGGACAACTGTAACATCACCGGGAATCGAACCCACAACCTTAAGGCCAAAGCTTAGATGGTTGTGCCACTTGGGAGGGTGTTTTGTCTTCTCTAGTGTTCCAACAACATTTGGTCACACTTTCTTATCGCTGTTGTTGGAAGAAAACCTTGTGTCTCGATTTTTGATGTTTTTTAGTTTTTGATGTAATTTGGAAATAGTTGTTGGTCTTTACATTGTATGTCAATTTCATGATGAATGAACCAAAAGAAATGACGTAAAAAGACTTGAAAAAAATTCTGGTTCTATTGATTTACATTAATAGTAAAATACATTTTTTCCTTCTCCTGTAAAGTTACCATTTTGGAGATACATTTGACCCATCTTTCTGATGGCTGGATTGGAGAATGATCAAAACAGCTCAAAATGTTCTCCTAAAGGAATTAGAACAGTTCCTGAGTTCTACCGCAGATTGTGGATGTGTGGGACACTTGTTTCCACAGGAGGGGTTCCCATATTGAGAGTATCCTCATGTCCATAAGCTGAAAGCTGAGATGATTCTTCATTTTACAAAAATAATGCTAAGGTGGTATCCTTCCCTGGAGAACCAACTTGATGATCAGCAGCGCTTTGAATTGGAAAGCTTCTCTGACAGTTAATGAGATTTGACAGTACTCTCTTAAAAAGATCGTTCTTTAAGACATGGAGAATGTGTTGTATAGGATTCTGCTTTTGTTACATAGTCTAGCTTGTCACCATAGCAGAACCCCTTTTGGTGCTGCATAGAACTGTCTACACGACATTCTCCATCAATCTGAAGAAGCATTCACCATGAACCAAAGCATGCGAATGGTTCTTTGAGTGTTCATGGTTCTATATTGAACAATTATCTTTACTAAAGAACCCTTAAAGAACCATCTTTTTAAAGAGTGCAGTATTAACAGTGCGCTCTCCAAAATAAAGGTTCCTTGACTCGTAAAGTTCTGTGAAAAAGCTCTGTTTGTTGTAGAAGCTATGGAGATTTTTCAAACTTTAACATGATTCTTTTGAAGAACCACATACTGAAAAGTTCTTAAGGGAGCCCAAAATGGTTCTTCTCTAGCACCACTCCAAAAAGCCTTTAAGGCACCTTTATTTGTAAGATGGGAAAGTTTCATTAAACCTTTTACAAAACATTTCTTAAAGGTGCAAGAAAGTTGTGAGGAGTGATGGAGAAGAACCGCTCGTGGTTCTTAAAGAGTTCTATTGTTAGGCTGTTTCATATGTAATCCTGGCGGTTCTTAGATCAGTGGGAGTGAAATTAATCTTTAACGTTGTGTTCTCTGTGGAGATAATGTTCTTAATCAGATGTTAGTGGAGATGAGGGCTTTGATCATTCCGGCTGACCTCGCATCTCATCGTCCAATCAGACGGCTGGAAGCTCAGCTCGCTGCAGTAGAATGTGGAGTATGGAGTGTGTATAGAAGGTGTAGGTGTGTTTGGTCTCTCAGAGCTGTTAGAGATTATTGATGATAAGTGGGCTAGATGGTCATTAGGCTGGTGTATTAGGAGTTGAGAGATGATGTAAGCGTGTGACTAAACTCCACCCCCTTCAAACCGAGAAGATAAACGACTTTATCAGCTGAACTTTGACACTAATGTGAAGATTGTGACACAGTCACCTCTCCAGCTATAAAAGGCTGCGGTCTGTACTCTGTGTCCACCTCCTGACCACATCCCGACCCTCTCACTCAGAAACCCACTCAGCCTCAACATGCCTGCTGACTATAACGGACGATGGGAGATGGTGAGCAATGAGAACTTTGAGGAGCTCATGAAGACTCTGGGTAAGATCGCTTTCTTTAATTCTGCAGCTCACTGCCCACTTTATGAGGTCCAACCAACCTTGGATCTGCACTCACTGTGTATTTTATCAGGTCCACTGACCATAGATGCACTCTGTGGTAGTGAGGAACCTTCAAGACCTTCACAGGCGTTCAGAGAAGAGAAGATATGACGAATTCTGTGTAATCTGTAATTTTTAGTTTATTTCTATTTAATAGAATTATTTTGCTTGTCAGAGTAAAATTAACTTAATTGTTAAGTTTTGTTTGTAAACAAAAGGGTTAAAATTTTGAAATGCCCATCAGAAAATGATCCAATCAGGATTGTTCTCTCTGTAGTATGTAGGCAGATGCAGCCGAGCTGCTCTCTCATTTGTTGGGACTTCAGGAGCTAAACTGAAGGTCTTACATGTTAGATTAACTACCAACTTCATAAGGAAGCAAATCAACCAGTTAAACTTTGGGACAAATTTATGAGACAAAACATCTTCTGGAAGTTCTAGAAACGTCACCAACTGTGAATATGAGCTGTATTCTAAGCAGTGTTCCGGTTAGTCGTTAGGACCGTAAAACAATGGCTGCAGCTCTATGCAGGACTCTTTACTGAAAGAGTCACTAACACTGATACATACAAGCTCAGATATATGATAATGACTTTTACCAGCTTCAAATGTCTGTGTTTAATTTAGAACAGCCAAAAGTGTGTTTCTGTGAACAGCCATTAGCTCAGCGCTAACATACTACTGAAATCCCATAAGGGTGCTAGCTGAAAATAGCATTATTTCTAATATTGCTGAACTGAAGGCCTCCAATAGCCTGTGGTTCTCCACTGCTTTGTCGTTGTACTACAGATTGTAGTCCGTTTCTCTGTATAAATTGTTAGCCTCACATAACCCCCCACAACCCCCTTCCCTTTAGTTACCCATGTCATCAAAGATCAGGACCCCCACAGGACTACCCCTCAGCAGGTTTTATTTGGGAAGTGAATCTTTCTTTTACTGTGGTCAGTGGACCTGATAAAATGGACAGTGAGTGCGAGTACATGTACCTAATGAAGTGCATTTGATTCTTATGATTCTTTAGAAAGTGATTCAGTGATTTGTTTCATAGCTAAAGTGGAACTAAATAAAATATACTTTCCTCAAATAAACATAAGAAAAAACATAAAAAAACATAAAAACTTACATTTCACCATGATTTGATTGTTATTATATTCTTTTGGCACTGTTTAGAATCATATATACAAACACACTAAGTACCCTAATGTAACTGGAGGACCTGTTTACACGGCAGTGCAATATAGACAATAAACACTTTTTTTAATTTTAGGATTAAAAACAGCCTGAGAATTGTGAGTCTTTTGGTCCAAAATCTTTGCATACTTTATTTAATATTGTTATAATATTACTTTGTATATTTGGTTTTTATCTGCCCAAGGTCAGCATAAAGGTCATCCAAACAAAAGAAAATGCAGGCTGAACACACCAGAACTTAAAGGAGATCTTAGGCTCCAAACTCCTATCAGCAGGTCTGGATTTGTACAGAACTGACTGTAATATACAGTTATTAATGATAAGTGTAAATAAAGAGTAAACGCTGAGTGTTAGACAGTAGAGCGACTCCCGCAGTGTCAGAAACGCAGAGTCTGTCAGTTCAGAGTCTGATGAGGTCAGCGTTCTAGATAAGACTGAGATTAGATAATTGGTTTACTGATCAGCTTCTAAACCTGTTTATGACAGACGGTACTGAGCTGATGTTCTTCAGGTTTTAATCATTATGACTCTCTCTCTCTCTCTCTCTCTCTCTCTCAGACATAGACTTTGCGACCCGTAAGATCGCAGCTCATCTCTCCCAGACGAAGGTCATTGTCCAGAACGGAGATAAATTTGAGACCAAAACTCTGAGCACCTTCAGAAACTACGAGGTCAACTTCAACATTGGGGAGGAGTTCGAGGAGCACACCAAGGGCCTGGACAACAGAGTGGTCAAGGTGAGTAGGACAGTGCTTGTCTGTAAATTCGGAATTAAAAATTCAATTGAATTCAATTGAGCTTTATTGTCATTATACATATTTGGGGGTCAGAATAATCCAACACGTTCAGGCTGCTTCTCTGGTGCATAAACACTGAGATGAGGACGTCAATGCACATACACCAGTAGGATGACAGAACATATATATATATATATATATGTATATATATATATATATATATATAGTGCAGTAAACAATAAACAGACAATAGACAATACATACAGAATAAACTAGACACAAAATTACTGTGCAGAAATTTAGAGCTAGTTTTTCAGTGAACTTCCTAAATGGTTTTTGACTTGTAAAGTTCTACACACATGGTTCTTCAAGGGTTCTTTAGTAAAGCAAATGTTTCTATGTAGAACAATAAACACTCAAAGAACCCTTTGCATGATTAAAGAATGGCAAAAGGTTCTTCATATTGATGGAGAATGTGTTGTAGATGGCTCTATATATAACCTTTTTGAAAAGGGTTCTATATAGCACCGAAAATGGTTCTACATAGCACCAAAAAGCGTTCTTCTATTGTTACAGGCTTGATATTGTAATGACCGAAGAACCCTTTTTCAGAAACAGAACCATCTACAGTACCTTCTCTGTCAATCTGTAGAACCATTTTACCAAAGAGTTCTTTGAGTGTTCATAGTTCTATTTGGGACTATTTTCTTTACCAAAGAACCCTTAAAGAACCATGTTTTTTGAGAGTGTAGGAGAAACCTTTAATTTGGTATTTACGTATTTATGTAGACACTTTTTCAAACTTTAACAAGGTTCCTTCAAGAACTACATCCTGAAACTATATACTGAATATTCTTTAGGGAACCAACAGAGGTTCTTCCCAACATTCACAACCTGAACCTGACTTGTTTGTTCTGATATTATAAAAAATGTTTTGTCTTTGGCACTTATATTCATGTTATTCAATTTCTATTCTTCTATATATGTATGCACTTAGCAACACCTTAGCAACTACCAGATTTACAATAGAAACCATATAGTAACACCCTAACAACTGCCTGAAATACCATAGCAGCTACCTAGTAACTTTCAGATTTACCACAGCAACCGCTTAGTAAAACACCCTAGTAACCACCTGGGATATCATAGCAACACCTGCTCAATGCTGTGGAACTGATTAACTGTGTAATTGCTCTGAATGTTCTTCAGGAAGCGCACAGGTCAGTGTAAACAGGGTTATATAAGCTGTGTGTGTGTTTCAGACGCTGGTTCAGTGGGACGGAGACAAGCTGGTCTGTGTGCAGAAAGGTGAGAAGCAGAACCGAGGATGGAAACACTGGATCGAGGGAGATCTGCTGCATCTGGTAAATATCAATATATCAATAATAGCGATTATTTAAGCATACATTTACAAACAAATTTCAAAACAATTAAAACTATCACCACAAGCTGGTACACTTCTCTACAATTGATCAGGACCCCTGAGCTACAACAGGCTCCTTTATTATTATTATTATTATTATTATTTTTATAGCTTTAATTTGTTTGCACAAATTCATCACTATTAAACAATTTAATATGTATTACATTATTGTACAGTACCTCCTTTATGTGAATGAATTTTATTTTGATGCACTGAAAATGTATTCATATGCCTCCCAATATCTAATGGTGCCCATCCAACCATATATGCAGGTTATTTTAACTAATAGTTAAGGTAATTTAGCTTGTAATTATTTTACATTGGAGATCTTAAGAATTATTAAATGTTTCAAATTGGGGAAGTTTTGTTCAGTTAATAAACTCAAAAATTGTCATGCAGCACAACTGACCACAAAGGACTTTTATTCTCATGTGCTTCTAAGAAACACATCAGAGAACTGCATCTACCTACATAAAATGGTACCATTAAAAATGACATGAAATGTATATGTATTGGATATCATTTTTATTATATATTTCATGGCATTTATAATGGTACCATTCCATCACGAAGCAAGATGCAATTTTCTGATGTTTTTAATAAACAATGCAATTTATATATATATAAAAATTGTTTATTATTAAATTATTATTATCATTGATCCTTGGAGTGTTATTGTGGTGTGTGATCAATGTCTCTGTCTCTATCAGGAAATCACCTGTGAAGACAAAGTGTGCCATCAGGTGTTCAAGAAGAAGCAGTAAAGCTCTCAGCCTGCACTCGTTCTCCTGACGGTGATCACCACCTGCATCTGATCTCACTGTACATACTGTACATATTCACATGCAATTTTAATAAAGGGCTGTAACCAGATCAGCAGTGATGTGGCTGTTTTTAAGATAAAACAGTGCGAGGATGATGTCGCATGTAAAAACGTCAAACCTCAGAGGAGAAAATCAAGCGTAAGAAAAGTGTAGCATATGGACTCTTTTATTATCAGAATAAACGAAGATGTGAAGACTTTCAAATTTATAGTTAAGTTATAACTTCAACCCCTTTAAAATCCCAGTTGAGGTCATCTTCAGCTGTATGAGTGAGGAATGAATGAAGCTCCTGGTCGTGTAAGGGTGAACACTAACGGCTCATTCAGAATTCATGATTATGAATGAGTAATAGCTGCTGGAGATCTGCACTGTAAATCTCCTTCTGTAGATCATAAACTGGAAGACCTGCCACATCTACACTCACCTTTAATCACTGAAATGACCTTTGACCCACTTAGAAGGTACTTAAGTACAGCAATTAGCCAACCTGAGATTACAACACCTTCATTATCATTACTGATGAAGAAAGAACCTGATTTCACTCTAATGTTCTCTGATTTTACTTTAACAGAGGAAATAAGCTCAGACAAGTACACACATATACATACATACACACATATACTTATATACATACATGCATACATACACACACACACACACACACACACACACACACACACACACACACACACACACACACCCCGCAACTGTCGGAACAAAACCTCATATCTCCAAAATGGTAACTTTACAGGAGAAGGAACAAACCTACTTTACTTTTAATGTAAGTCAATGGAACCAGAATTTTTTCAAAGTCATTCTGGGACGTTTCATTTGGTCCATTCACCATGTAATTTACACACAATGTAAAGAACAACAGGTATTTTCAAATTATGTCAAAAACTGAAAAACAAGACATCAGAGGTTTTGTTCCAACAACAGCGATATATACACATATATATATTCCCTTAATCACTTAAGGGAAAGTGCAGACGTCTGGTTTCACCACTATCAACAGATTCTCTAGAATGGATTTTGAAAAATTGGTGTTCCCCTTAAAGAAACTTTAAACTCAAATGTTATTAACATACAGTATTTATTAACATACAACAGTCATTGGCAATAAAGTCATGTAATATTGAAAAGTTTCAGGTTGTGGTGATTTTTAACGTAACATACAGCGAGAAAACGCCTCTATGACGCCGTTCTGGTTTCTGTGTCCATCTAAGCAGAGCTCACTGCCATCGTCTGTTCGTAAGTCTGTAAAGCCAGTTTGATGAATCCAGCTCTTGGAGACTCGCAATCAGCGTAGATCTACAAGAGAAAGGGAAAAAAATTAACTGCCCATGACACATTCCCAAATCCTAATGTTTTAGCCTCAGCACGGCTGTAAGTAAAGCTGAAGTTGGTTTCTTACTCGAATTTTCCATTCAGCCTTAAATGTTGCACCTTAAATATGTTCAAACGTATGTCCACTCCATACTTAACCCCTCATGATTTGTACCTTTGGTGCTGAAAACTAGTGCTGCCTCTGAAATTTCCGTTCCACCTTAAATGGTACAGCAGTTACATTCTGGTGCCTGAGGCACCAAAATGTAACTGCTGCACCATTTAAGGTGGAACAGAAAATTCACCTCAGCCTGACTTTCAAGCTATAAAACTCCATCTGAAAACCTTAACTTGATCCGGTCAGACTGCTCCCCCCCTTGGGAGGTTAAAAGGTCAGCGTGGGCTAATGCGCCGTGTTAAGGACCCACCGTGACTAAACGCTGGCCCCACCATGTCTCGCAGAATCACCCACTCAGCAGCAGCCCTCCATTCTGACTGATTGCTGGTGGCAGAATGTAACTCAGTAAAACTGTTTTAGCTGTGGAAGGTCAAACTGGCGGCTAATGAGGAGTGATTTTCCCGAAGCCTGACCCCGTTATTCCCACTCTTCAGCCCTCTCTCAGTACTACAGCAGAACAGAACCTGGAGAACAGACGGGGTTCAGAGACGTAGATCCAGTTTCGGTTCATCTGGGGGTGAACGTGGCGTCCAAAGGTTTTTATTATTAAGCAGGCGCCGGATTCCCAGAGCTTCATGGAGGTTTCTAACGATGGCCAGCTTAATGTTCTTATATGTGTGCGGGTCTGTGTATGGCCAAAAGTAAGTGGACACCCCCACTAATGATTGAGTTCAGGTGTTTCAGCCCCACCCTTTGCTAACAGGTGGATAAAATTAAGCTCATAGGCTTGCAGTCTCCATAGATGAACACTGGCAGTGGAGGGTCGCACTAAAGAGCTCAGTGACTTTAAATGTGACACTGTCATAGGATGCCACAAGTCTGTTCCTAAAATTTCTGCCCTGCTGGATCTGCCCCTGTGAACTGTAAGTGCTGTTATTGCTGTTATCTGTTGAATCATCACTAAAGAGAAGCAACACCAGCACAATAATTGTGCTTCAGGAGCTTCACAAAAGGGTTTCCATGACCAAGCAGCTGCACGCAAGCCTAAGATCACTATGTGCAATGCCAGGCGTCGGCTCAAGTGGTGTAAATCGCCCCCACTGGACTCTGGAGCAGTGGAACCGTGTTCTCTGGAGTGATGAATCAGCTTCACTATCTGTCAGTCTGATGGATGAGTCTGGGTTTGGTGGATGCCAGGTGAACATTACCTGCCTGACTTCATAGCACCTACAATAAAGTTCGGTGGAGGAAGGATGATGGGCTGGGGCTGTTTTTCAGGGTTTGGGCCCCTCAGTTCCAGTGAAGGGTGATGTTGATGCTACAGCACAAAGACATTTTACACAATTATCTGCTTCCAGCTTTGTGTCAGCAGTTTGGGGAAGAGCCTTTCCTGTTCCAGCATGACTGAGCCCCTGTGCACAAAGCAGCTCCATAAAGACATGGAGTGACCAGTTTGTTGTGGAGGAACTCCAGTGGCCCTCACAGATCCCTGACCTCAACCCCACTAAACACCTCTAGAACGGAGATTGTGAGCCAGACCCTCTCGTGAAACATCAGTGTCTGACCACACAGATGCTCTTTAGACTGAATGGGCACAAATTCCCAAAGATACTCTCTAAAATCTTGTAGAAAGCTTCACAGAAGACTTGAGGCTGTTTTAGCCGCAAAGAAGGACCGACCCCATATTAATGGATTTGGAATGAGCTGTCCTACAAGCTCACGTAGGAGTGATGGTCTGGTGTCCACTTTGGCCATTTAGTGTGTTTGTGTATTCTGTGTTTTACGGTAGTTTCTAGAATCAGACACTCAGTTCCTCGTTCTCGAATCCGTACTCATTTCTGCACAACTTTGACGAGTTATTTTCAGAATCACGATCAGAAAACTGTCCTGTTGATCCATTTTAATGTCATTACTGCTAATTCTGTTTTTTATTGCCTGTTCTTTTTCACTTTTTTTCTAGTTTTAGTTCTATATTCTTAGAGTTCTGTCTGATTATTGGGATTTTGTTAGCTCTACAGCTTATCTGACAGCAGAAAGTCTAATTCCTAACAACAACAGATACTGAAGAAAGAATTTGGGTCTAGGCACATCAGATTCTGTTCATCAATTCCATAAAAGTTTGAGATGGCACAATACCACTTTTTTACTGACTTTAGCAAGACTAAAGGTACAATTTTAACCTTAAACAGCACAGTAAATGAAGCTGAAATTGGTTTCTTATTTCAGTTTTCCATTCCTTAAATTTGTTCAAATGTAAGTTATTCCACAATTGATTTCTCAATTTGTGACTTCAGTGTTAAGAACTAGTGCTGCCTTTGAATTTTCCATTCTAACTAAAAAACTGTTGCACCATTTAAGGTGGAACAGAAAATTTGAATGGGAAACCAACTTCAGCCTGACTTTTATTTTACCGCAAACACTAGTTTGCGGTAAAATGTCTGTTCCTTTCCATACTTTGTCTAATTTCAGTGCTTACATTCACTTCTGAAGTAATCTGGAGTTAATGATAAGATTATGAAGTTAGTTAGGAACTGTTATTCTGTAATAGCTACTGTCCTAAATTTAGTCTGTACTGAAATAATTCCAGATAAGAAAACAGTGTCACACAAACATCCTAACTGGACTAAAACTCCTAAATACTGTCCTAACTTTAGGATAAACCCCAACAGGGTCTTAACTTCTGTTTAAGATCCGTTTCTATGGTTTTTAGGCAGCTGTGTCAGGCAGCATAGTTCACTACCAGCATAATGAGCTACATTTATTTTTACTGTAAAACGCTGCTTTCACTGTGAGATGTTTTTCTTTTCTAACTCTGCGTTTTAAAAATCTCAGACGCTGCAGACTCGATCTCCACCGTCCCTCTGATTACCTTCGTGCGTTAATGTTGATGAAATATTACAGTGATGGTGGTGAATAATGAGGAGATGGAGCTGAACGTGTGTCTGTTTATTAGGAGGAGTAACGTTAGTGCGCTCGGCTTAAGTGTTTGAGAAATGGAGACTGAAACTGGGGAGCGGCGACGCTCTGATAAACAGCAGGGGGCGCTCTCACGGTATTCACTACTTACAGTTTATCACACTTTAGTTTTGATTGACCTTTTTTACATCAGTAACTGCAGCTGTCTGGCTAACTTGATTACTTTGATTACATGTTTGCGTTTCAGCTGTGTGTTTATGGTCGGTTGCTAGGAAACAGACAAGACAGCTGATTGTCGACTTCGATCAAGTAAGTTTTCTTAACTTGAGATAAGATGCTGCAAGATAAGATTTCTAAATTAAGATCTGCAGGTGTGTGTGAGCTGGAGCAGAGTGCAGCAGGCTGTGTGTGTGTGCGTGTGTGTGTGTGTGTGTGTGTGTTTTACCTTCAGCAGGTCTGTGCCATTAGCGTCCTGGCTGTGAGCCTGCAGGGCGGAGTCACTCTGAGGATGCACCAGGTTAAACAGACGCACCAAACTCACTGCATCCTGCAGCCTGTAACCACGGCAACAACACAGCACATCAGCATGACTGTATACGTTACTGAACTCTGTATTCGTATAAACACAGACTTTAATATAATTATTAATATAATTATTAAATGATCAGGCTGAGTTTTGTTCAACGTTTACACCAATCAATGAGACTGATACTGATTTTCAGATACCTGCATTTAAATTACAAACTGAAAGTGGGCGTGGCTTAAAACATAAATGAGTGTGAGGCGCTGGTCCTACATTTACTTAACACATTACAGACTAATAACGAAGCGCTAACATTAATCACATCAGTACAGAATGTAGTTAAACAGCCTATCAGCAGTCTAGATTTTGGAACAAGCAAACTTACTGCCATTAACTTTATTATTGAATAACAGTGTTTCAGTACTCAATTTCGATACGCAGACCAAAAATGTTAACTTTTTTGAGAGTAAATTCATGTCAGTTTGTTTTTTGCTGAATATTTTTTTAAATTTGAGTAAGATTAATCATTTTTTAAATACAAAAAACCTACACGTCTCTGGTATAAATGAAACACAGAAATTTGTCTGTTTTCTTGATGTTCAAGCTCTAAGCTTTTTTGTTGTATCTTGTCATAAAATCATAAAACCTCGTTAGCTCTGTCATTGTCATCTGGGGTCGACCAGAGGAGGATGGGTTCCTCCCTTCACGCTAGGTTCCTCTCAAGGGTTCTTCCTCTTACTCCTAGGGAGTTTTTCCTCGCCACTGTGGCCTCTGGCTCGCTTATGAGGGGCTTGGGTCCGGATTTAGTTCCTTACGTCTATATGTGGACTCCTTTTTATTTTTTTGATAAACCTTCCATAAACTGTTTTCCTTCTATAAACTGCTTTTCTGTAAAGCTGCTTTGAGACAGCACTAGCTGTAAAAAGTGCTATACAAATAAATGTTGTTGTTGGTTTTTTATGTAGTTTTATGCAGATTTTTTTCCTCTTGATGCTTTTCTTGCATTTAATTAATCAAACTCTATCAATATAATCAAATATAATTAACAGCTGTGCACACATAAGTCCTTGTACTAAAATGGTCAGTTTGAGCTGAAAATGGTCAAGATATAATTTGTGAACATAAATGTGGGTCTTTACTAGCTCATTTTTCTAAATAAGTAAATAAACAAACAAACACACACAGACGCACCGTTCTCTCTGCAGCATGTCTGTTAACAGACCGTCAATTCTGCGGCTGCTGGCCAGAAACCACACAAGACCACCAAAAAAGCGAGTAGACCGGAGCAGGTCGTATTTCCCAAACTTCTCAATGTCCTCATAGGTTAAAGCATGCACCTGTAAACAAGACGAATAAGACAACAAATACAGAGAATTATGTAACAGTTTTAGTCCAACACAGTTAAATCTGTTTAATTAAAATTGAATTTACTTTAAAATTAAACTAATTTATTTGGGCAGTAGGCATTTTTGTTCACACTAACACTGCAATAAATACATATATACAAACTAAGAGTTTAATTTAAAAAAGCATTTAATGCCATTTTCATTTTTTTAATGAATTCTTAAATAATGTTTATCGCTGGGAGTGAGCTTTGCATATACCTAAAATAAAAATAAAAATGTGTTTTCCATTATATGTTAGCCGTTACTACTTATTTCAAACATTTGTTATATTTAAAACGGTTAAAAATAGATGTTATGGAGTGTTTTGACTGGCAAACGCACACTAACTGCCCAGATAACTGTTTTTCTTGGCTGCCTAAAGAGTAAAGAGTCTGTCAGAGTGAGCAGAGTTAATCACACTGAACGCTGTATTAACAGGATGAATTATGAAGGTGCAGTAATACACACTACAAATGCAGAAACAGCCGTAAACAAACAGTAAATAACTTACATAACTAAAAAATACAACATTAACACCATAAACGCAGTGAGATGCATGTAGTATAATTATAAACAGACATTGTACATTATTAGTAGAACATTGTAGAACAGTTCTGTGGTTCTCTTAGTAAAACCAGCAGAGCCGTTCTTACACATACCCTCTTAAAGTCTGCAGAATCGGGCTCGAACTGGACGAGGCAGTGTTTCAGGACTTCTTCATGTCTGTTCTGTCCAAACGCGACCTGCACACAGAAAATAAGCAGAGCTTACAGCCTTTACTTCCACTCACAGGAACACAGGGATTGTTTATCCGGTGTACCTTGAGGTTCTCCTCTTTGAAGATAGGGGGCGCTGTAAGCTTGCGGCCGTTTTTGGGAAAGTAAACCTGTATGATTCTGTCTCTCTCTTCCCACGTCGCTTTTCTCAGCGTCCCGCTCGGCTCTCTCACAACGATAAACCGCTCCTGCTCAGACGGAGAGAATAAATCAGAGCCTAAAAACAGACCAGACGTTCTAACAGGGGGACACTGATAATGTGCAGCTCATTATTAGTTTATTTAATTTATTATAACTTCTGCAGTATAAAGCACACATTCTGTGATGTTTTTTCAAAGTATCCGATTCAAGATTGCACCACAAGGGGGCTCCTGCGTGTCACAACCGTCTTAGCGTTGGCCCTGTCATCAGGAGATTGCGAGTTCGATCCCTGGTGATGCTACAGCCATCCATAGCCGGGAGTCCAAGACAGCACAATTGGCCTCGCTCTCTCTGGGTGGGTAGGATGGCCCCTCCTTCTCCCCCCATCACTTAACACGATGCTAGTCAGCACAGGCTTCTGTTAGCTGACGTAACAGATCTGGCAGTTGGTGCTTTCCTCCGAGCACGTTCAACTGTCCAATGACGTTGTGTGAGCGGCAGTTCGAATAGAAGCGGTGGCTGGTTTCACAGGTCTCGGAGAAAGCTTGTGCTAGCCTTCACCCTCCTAGCGTTGATAGTATAGTGGGGGAGTCCTAACTAGTGGGTGGAACTGGCGACGACTAAACTGGGGAGATAATTGGGTTAAAATCCCAATTATTGCTTCAGAAAAACAAGGTTATAATAAATATTTTTTTTTATAATAAAAATAATATGAATATTAATCATAATAAATAATCAGTAATAATTCATTTCTACATGATCATTTTCCAACCTCTCTCTATCCCTCATGATTAAACAGCCTGTTCTTTGTTGTTTGTTTCTGTGCCTTTCAGACTGATATGTAAATGAGCTCTGTTCTGATAGCAGTCCAGGCTGAAACACTCCTTATAACATCAGCATAAATAGGCGGGGCTAAACAGCTGTAGGCTGAATGGGCGGGGCTAAGCTGCTGTAGTATCTTACTCTGTGAGGAATGTTGTAGGTGATGTCAGTGAAGACGTATTTGGATGTGTCCATCCCCTCCAGCATCTTATCTTCAGACAGAACTTCCTCGATGGGCTTCCTCTCAGGTAACACAGGCGGCATCTTCAGCAACCTCTCAGCCTGTTCTTCTGCCCGCCGTACTGCCTACACACACACACACACACACACACACACACACACACAGACACACAGACACACACACAGTGACAAAGAAAATAAATCTATTACTTTATGGTCTGACTGATATAACGGCTGATCAACAATATAAGCTGATATCGATATCGGTATCAGCGAAAATGTCACCCACAGTGATGTATATGGAGAAAGCTGATAAAAAAAAAATCAAATTATGTCAGAACGTGAATTGAGAGCCTATTTAAGAATTCACAGTTTACAACTAACTACAGCCAGTAAAGCTTCATTAGCTCCATTATCAGCTGAATATGACTAATTTTAATTTTATAATCCATGTCAATTTTGATCCTCATGATCACAACATAAATGCAAAAAAGAAAATGGGGCAATTTGATAATATTTTATTGTTACTGTGACAATTTATTTTACAATACACTTTTCTGGATCTTCTGGAACACTGACTACATGTTTTATTACAGAGTGAGCATAATTAGGGCTGTTTAACTAGTTTTAGTTTAAAAAAATGTATGATCCAAAAAAGATACTATTTCAAGAATACTGCACCCAGAAAGTGGGACATGATTATATAAAAGAGAGAACGCAGTGATCCACACTCATGCCTGTGTGATGTTTGTCTGTTTCATATTTATTGTTTGTTTATGTGCAGATATTGCCATGTGGTTGGTGATGCACAGAGAACTCGCTCATGTGATTGTTTTGGTTTTATACTGAGCTAATTTCATTGAACAGTCTATACAGAAAATCTTGATGTAGTAGTTATTCATTTATTTACAGTGATTGTTAATGCTGAGTAATCACTGTAGTCATTTTACAGCATTTCTTAATTTAGAATGGATTAAAATAAATTGATTAAAAAAGGGGCTTTATCTCAAAACTACTGTAGAGAAATGTTTCAGACATCAGGCAGTGAATTCATAACCATTTCATGTAATAACTTTCTGTGAGGGAGCTTTTAAAGGTGGACGTCTGGTTCCTATCACCACCACTGTGTTCTGACCTGGTAAGTTTCTCTAAAGCGTTTCACACCAAACCACTCTGAACCACTTGGTTTACATGTTAACCATTAAATCATGCAGAAATTTGGAAAAAAAATCAGTGGAGTTTCCCTTTAAGGATAACGTATTGATTTGGTACAGTTCAACACCTTCGATCAAACTGACTTTTTTATTCTATCTTGATTTGGAAATGGTAGCCGAAACTGACTGCTCAAACACATTAGACTGACAGAACGTCAACAGTACTGCTGCGGGACGCTTATTTGAGGTTTTGTGAATATTATATATTACCTATAGAATCACACACGGCTCCTATAGAACGGTCACCCAGAGACCCGGTGTGAGTGTGTGGTGGTGTGTTAGTGCTTCATAGTGAGAACAGTTACCTCCTCCAGCTGAGCATCAGTCAGGAGTTTGTACTTCGGTGGTTTGAGCTCCTGTTTGACCGGCTGAAACACTTTACTCAGGTCCAAACCTGTGATTCGAGTCAAAATGTCCTGAACTTCAGCGTCTGTGTACTGTGCTGTTCTGACCCCCTCAGCACGCTGACCTGGAGATAAAGAGAAACACAGAGAACCAACGTTAACAGAACCAACAGAACAGCTACGCTTAGTGTTCGGTTATGCTGTCTATGCAGAGTTTCTCCTGAAATGAATAGTGTTAATAGTGAGTCTGTGCTGCAGTAACAGCCTCTACTCTTCTGGGAAGGCTTTACTCTAGATATTGAACATTGCTGTGAGGATCTGATTGAGCATTACTGAGGTCAGTTACTGATGTTGGATGGTCAGTTCTGGATCACTAACTTATCCCAAAGGTATTGGATGGAGCTCCATCACTCCAGAGAACACAGTTCCACTGCTCCACAGCCTAATGCTGCAGGGCTTTATACCACTCTAACCCACACTTGGCATTGGACATGGTGACCTTAGGCTCATGTGCAGCTGCTCCAGAGAGTCCCATTCTATTGGTCAGTGCTTTTCTATGGTGGGTGGCCAATCTCACTCATTAGTAGAACTGTCCAAATACTTTTGTAAATGATAGAGATTCATATCGACAAAACATCATATTGAGATTATATTGCATATCAGTAGTAAAAAACATAGCAGGACTTTTAAAGTGACAATTTACAACTGCAAAAAAAATAGTTAAATTAGTTAAAATATCTTTTAATCATTCATCTGCATATCCATGCACCCTTAATAAAAATGGTTCTTCAAGGGTTCTTCAGTGGCCCTATACAGAACCATAAACACTCAAAAAAAACAATTTAAGGGTTTTTTCATGGTGAAATTGTTCCTTAGATTGATGGAGAATGTGATATACACTGACCAGGCATAACATTATGACCTGGAGTTTTTAAACACCTGTCACTGCTGGACTGAGAATAGTCCACCAACCAAAAATATCCAGCCAACAGCGTCCTGCGGGCAGCATTCTGTCACCACTGATGAAGGACTAGAGGATGACCAACACAAACTGTGCAGCAGCAGATGAGCTATTGTCTCTGACCTTACATCTACAAGGTGGACTGACAAGGTAGGAGTGTCTAATAGAGTGGACACAGTGATCCACTCAGACCAGCACAACACACACTAACACACCACCGCCACGTCAGTGTTACTGCAGTGCTGAGAATGATCCAAATAATACCTGCTCTGTGAAGGTCCATGAGGGTCCTGACCACTGAAGAACAGGGTAAAACGAGGCTAATAAAGTATGCAGAGAAACAGATGGACTACAGTCTGTAATTGTAGAACTACAAAGTGCACCTATATAGTAAGTGGAGCTGATAAAATGGACAATGAGCGTAGAAACAAGGACGTGCTCATAATGTTATGCCTGATCGGTGTATATCTTATCACGGCAAAGTTTTGATGTTGAACGAACTTTTATTTTGAAATATCTGAGATGGAACTCGTGTAAAGATGCCTGCCTAAAACTATATGGAAAAACAAACCTTTTTATTTGCAATACATTTTATACTATATGTTTATGATTAACATACTAAATTAATATATTTATACATGAAAAATAATTTTAATTACACTGGAATGATTCTAGATGACAGTCTGTCAGAAAAAGAGCTGAATTTAGGATGTATTTAGGAGGTATATCTATCACCACTGTGGAATATGTAAAATATATATGTAGTTAGAGCTTCATTGAACACGTCTAGAATTTGGCGTCTTTTTTAAATTTTCCGTTCCACCTTAAACAGTGCAGGAACTACGGTGCAGCCTCAGGCGCCGGTATAGACCCGCTGCACTATTTAAGGTAGAACGGAACATTCGAATAAGAAGCCAAGAGATGAGCAAGGTCACCGTATAAACGCTCAATGAAGCAAATTAACCGCATTTGACTGGAAGTTTCTCACTTACCGCTGTCTGATGATGAAGTGGAAGCCCCCCGCTGGACCACCCGCAGAACCGCCCGCTTGTTCTGACCCACATTTCTGACTCTGAATAAACAGCGCACAGCACTGAGCGCCGCCATCGCTGATCACAGCCTCTTCTTCTGTGGGTGAAATGAGTTAATGCAGACACATCGCCCCCTGCTGTCTGCTAATCTCATTTGTGGTGAAAACAACACGCGCTCAAGTGAAGACCATCAAAATGTCCTCACTTGAGCAAAAATGTCATGTTGTCCTAACATTGTGAGGACATGCGGTCCTCACAAGTATACCAAGACGAGAACACACACACACACACTGTCCGAAAGTATCCGGACAGTCAGACAACTGAGTGAGATCAGCTGCTTTAAGAACGAGATTTTCTGGAGCAGCTGAACACAGAACACATCAAAATATACAGTAAAGATCACAGACAGACAGACAGATAGAGAGACAGACAGACAGACAGAGAGTTAAACAGACCGACAGACAGAGAGACAGACAGACAGATAGAGAGATAAACAGACAGACAAACAGAGACAGACAGATAAGCAGACAGAAAGATAGACATAGAGACAGACAGACAGACAAAGAGATAAACAGACAGACAGAAAGACAGATAGAGACAGACAAACAGACAGAAAGACAGATAGAGACAGACAGAGAAACAGACAGACAGAGAGACAGACAGACAGAAAAAACAGAGACAGACAGAGAGACAAACAGACAGTTAGAGAGACAAACAGACAAACATATAGACAGACAGACAGATAGAGAGACAGATAAACAGACAGAGAGATTTTTTTTTTCTGTGAAGACAGATTTCCTCTCAGATGTCTTATGTGACCAGAATTTAATGATTAAACTGAATTTAATGATTAAAACTCACATTATTTTGTCAAACAATTGCTCAGATCTGCGCTCAGAGCTCAGAGACGCGCTGGCCAGAGGGAGTTAATATGGACACTGACCACTTAACTCTGTTTACAGGCTGATTTTAGTAAAAACAGCCCCAAACTATGTTGAGAACTCCGTTATTAAATCATTATTATCAGCATGTTTAGATGTCTTTATAATCTGAGCCTGCAGCGAAGTCCTTCAAACTCCTGTGAAACATCTGTAAGAAGAGAAAACTCTGGTCAGTTTTATGTACAACCAGAGATGGCGCTGTTTATCCACCATTGATCTCTCACTCTGCAGGCCTGTAAACTTTGAGTACCAAAAAAAAACAAAAAAACAAAAAACAGGAACACACTCAAAAACGTGTTCAGAAACAGCATTTTAGAGTGTTAGATATACAGACTGATTACAAATCAGACCAGTTTTCCAAATAACAACAACAGAATTAAAAAGACGATATAATATATGCAGTCAGAGATTTTATATATTTTTCAGTCAAACAGCCAAGTCAACAAGTTATGGGAAAAAAAGGGAAAAAAAAACAGAAACATATTTTTTACAGAAATCACACAGAAGTCTCACTAACTAAATCTAATCTCAACTGTGTGAGAGTCAGTGAGTCACTCTTCACCTTTATTTCAGCTTCCATTCTTTTCAGGAGACTCACTTTCAGTTCCTCAAAAAATCTGCAGACACACCTCCAAAGTTCAGTCTTAGAAGCTGGTTGATCATTTTCTGAAGTAATCAAACACATTCAGTGATGTTGAGGTCTGGACTCTGGGGTGGTCAGCCCATTGTTCAGCTCCATTGTTTGATGTGTCCGTCTCCTTTTCTCAGTGAGGTTCTTCTTGACAGCTACGCATCCTTTCAGACCCATAGCGCTGAGTCGTCTTCTCACAGTGGAAGGATGGACAGAAACACCTGTGGATGTTTTCTGAAGCAGCTTGATTTTCTCCTCTCTCTCAAAGATGAAAGCTTTAAGTGCTGTTTATCTGATGGGACAGTTTTGGCATCTATCAGGTCTTCCAGGTGGTTGTTGGGAGGCACATTTTCTTTGCAGCTTTAAATATTTTTTTTCCACTTTGACTTTATTCTTTTTTTTATAAGCAAGTGGATTATCATATATCTAATTTCCACAAAAATATCTCCTAAAAATCAATAACTTGTTTGGTGATCAGTACAGGGTGTGTGTTGGGGTGTATTCAGTGCTGAGTGTGTGTATTGTATGTAAATGTGTTGAGTGTTTGTTTTTGTTTCTGCAGTGAGTCGGAGAGCCGAAAGTTCTCAAATGGGTGAAACCATCAAAGGTGTGTGTGTGTGTGTGTGTGTCTGTGTGTGTGAGTGTGTGTGTGTGAGTGTGAGTGTGTATGTGTGTGTGTCTGTATGTGTGTGTGTGGTGTTACAAATGTTTCAAGGTCTGACAGTTTTGGGTTTTCTCTGTGGTGCTGTGCTCTCTGAGAGGGAGTTGGGGAGCGGCTGGAGGAGCAGGGCAGCATGACCCTCAGAATTATCTTCACTCCTGAGTTCACATCCAACAAGCTCAGCACAAGATTTTTAACAAATCCATGTTCCAGTTCAAATTCTGGAACTATATGTTATCTTACAGATCCTAAGCTACTCAATCGAGCTTGACTATCAACTGTTATGTCTGTCAGCAAGCAACCATGATACACACATCTGAGATATGAACACAATCAACATTATGTGAACAAAAATATCAGTTAGCTCAGCAACAATTGTTTTTAAAAATGGACAAACAAAAGAATTGGAATTGAAAAATGTTCCAGGGCCCTGCACAGTTTAATCACAGGTTATTATTTCCCCAAATCTCCTCAGACATGAAGAGACACAGATAGATAAAGACTCAGAGAGACACAGAGAGACTCAGAGAGAAACAAACACTTAGAGAGAAACAGAGAGACTCAAAGAGACACAGTAGGACTTATAGAGGCTCAGGGAGAGTCAGAGAGACACAGAGAGACATGAAGAGACACAGATAGATAAAGAGAGACTCAAAACCACAACAACATTCAGACACTCAGAGACTCAGAAAGACTAAGAGAGAGACCCAGAGACACTCAGAGAGACATAGAGACTCAGAGAGACACAGAGACAGAGCGCCACAGACACTGAGAGAGACACAGAGACTCAGAGAAGCACAGAGAGACCCACAGAGAGACAGACATACAGAGATAAAGAGAGACTCAGAAAGACACAGAGAGATAAAGAGAGACTCAGAGACACAACAAGATTCAAAGGCACTAAGAGAGACTAAGAGAGAGACTCAGAGAGACTCAAAGAGACATAGAGAGACTCAGAGAGACTGATGGAGACTTAGAGAGACACAGAGAGACAGACACTCAGAGAGATACAGAGAAACAGAGACTCAGAGAGACTCAGATGCACAGAGAGACTCTGAGAGACACAGAGAGACTCAGTGTGACTCAATGAGACTCAGAGAGACTCAGACACTCAATGAGACTCAATGAGACTCAGTAAGACTCAATGAGACTCACAGATGCAACAATTAACTATTTAAGAAGGGAGAGGGGATAAAATCAAAGTACTGGTAAAATCGAATGAATGAATGAATTTGCTCTTTTACAAAGGTATCATTTCAGAAATGTGATGTTTTGTCTCTACAGTGAAAAGGGAAACAGGAAACCTGATGCTTTCTGTTTCTGCTGTTTTTGTTTGTTTTAATCTTTAGTGAATCATTGAAAGTGTCAGAAATGATTCTTGTTATATGAAATGATATTGAAGCCTTTGTAGGTCAGTGAGTTGAACATTTGATTAAATGTTTTTCAGACTCATAATCTGAGGCTGGAATTGGTGAAAAAGTTGAAAACGTTTCCTGCTCACTTTGTAGAAAAACAGAGTGAATGGTGAGACAGTAATCAGTGGGCGTGCGACACAGGAAAGAACGCATACACGGTGAGAGAGTAAATTTGGGTGTTGAGTGAGCGGGATGCTAATTATAGCTGCAAACTCATTAATGCTGCTCCCCTCCCACAGACCAATCAAAGGCTGCGGAAAAGACCGTCGTTTGTCACTGTCATCTTCAGAACATTCTGGAAGTGGCCTTACACGCAACAGCCGGGTGTACAGATGAGGAAGACGAGGAAGACGATGATGAAGAAAAGGAGGGAAAGCACAATGACGACAATGGAGCATTACTTTAGCGTAGAAGAAGAGTGGTAAATATCTGCGCTCTAATGAGGACGTCCTGTGGGGCGGCTGGGGGGCACAACTGACATAAATTTAAAGTATGTTATTTTAAATTACATTTAATTTGTAGAATGAACAGCTCGATAGAGTTACAATAGACTGTGTTATCAAGCTAACGTTAGCATGGTGGCTAATTTGTCATTGTTTTTAACCTACCTAGTTTAGATTACCTACAACACAGATTAGCTTGATAGCATAGCATTCTAAACTGGAAGCTCAGCATTATGTAGTGACTGATTTGAATTAAAGTGAATTCACATATTTGGATTTCTATAGTTTATACAGTCCTACAGTGAATAACCAGCTCTAAATGTAGGTATTGTGATACAAACTGAGTCTGTTCTACAGTTTCTCATTAGGCTGAATGAATAACCGACTCTAAATGTAGGTATTGTGATATACACCAAATCTGTTCTACAGTTTCTCATTAGGCTGAATGAATAACCGACTCTAAATGTAGGTATTGTGATATAAACTCTGTTCCACAGTTTCTCATTTCTTCAGTCTGACTTCACTTTCACCTCGGTTCTCAGCTTGAGCTTTAGCATCCTGCTGAGAACCAAAGATGTGAGCTTCTGGATTTTCTGAGTGACCCAAGCCAGCCATCATCATCATCATCATCATCATCATCGTCATCCATACAGAGCAGCTCAGACTGCACTGCACGCACAATACAGCAAACAATACAGCACAAAAAAACCCCACATACAGATAAATCCAAGAGAACTTTACACCTCTACCTTTTTTTTTCATTTTTTAGCATTAACTCTGTTTTATTAGTTATGAAGCTGAATTCCAGTCAGCCTGTCTGAGCTTTATAGCAGACTGTTATTGAAATTCCATGTTCAGCTTTCAGTTCATGTTAGAAGATGAAGATTTCAGCAGTCAGTATAAAAACATGCAGCCGTTACATAATGTGGCTCCTGCGGCTGAGACAGCTGTGCTGCCTGTGGGAGATGATGCAGTGTTGAACTCTCAGCTCCAGCGCTGGAG